CAAATTAAAGCGAGGATGATCACAGGTAAACACAAGACAGACACAATGGACCATCTGGCAAGTGTACCCAATGACCGTGAGAGATTTAAAGGAAAAAAAAAAAAAAAAAAAAGGAAAAAAGGAGAGTCTTACGAGAAAGATGGCAATGAGCGAGATAATAAGGGGCCTTTGTGTAAGATTTGGATGCTCTGGAAAATATAGTTGTAAAAGGACAGGGATAGTATCGCCCAGCACTAAATATAAAGGGTATTAGCTGAATTCAATAACCATTACGCAATGATCATTTACAGATATAATAACTGACACATGCACCAGCAGCTTGGATGAGAACAAGAAAGTTTAAGAAATGATATCCTGCTCGACCGATGGTATGCTCCATAAGTGTAGCCAATTTATAAGTTCCTGAACGCATTCCTGATAACACAAGCATGTGCAAACCTAATTGAGAGATAAAAGCAACGAGAAGAGATAAAAAGAGGGCGGGCCAGAATCCGGCAAGATAGATAGCAAAAGGTAATCCAATGATACCAGAACCGACTGTTGAATTGACTAAATTAAAGGCGCTTTCAATCTCTGACCGTGAGCCATATCCTGGTCTATTGCCTTGTAATAAATCCCTTTCGGCCTCTGTTAACTCTTCTGGTTTACTCTGAGTTGATCCATACATTATTTAATAAAGAAAAAAGAAAAAGAAAGGAAGAAAGCTACTAAAATGCATATCGATTACCTTTTAAAGAATATTTTTAATTTTCGACATTTAGTCCATGATTGGTCTAATATGAGAAAATGAGTCATGAGCGCATTTAACAATGTGTTTTAAAATGTTTAAGGGACAACAATGTTATGTAACAATAGATTTGACAGTAATGTGACCCATGTTATTTTTATACATAAAAAGAGAGAGAGAGAGAAGAGTGTATACATGTAATGGGGAGGGAAAGGGGAAATGTGTATGTGCGTGTGTGTCTATGGTGTATACATAACATAAGTGAATAATAAAAACAGACAAGGAAAGTAAAACGAGAAGATTAAGGCTTTTTTGCTACATATGAATACCAGTCCATAGAAGCATCATTTTTGACACATTGAGCACAAAACATCTCCACTCTGTGTTTATAATCTTCAATATCTAATCCTAACATTGGTCCAAGTTGGTCACCGGCTTGTTCAAATGAATTCAATATAAACAGCAAAAACTCCTCAGCCAACCTTCCACCTGAACCTACAAAAAAAAAGGGGAGTTAAAAAAGGACACTAATAAGCAAATATATTATACCATAGTGGATCGTCTTTTTCTTTGTTTCAATCACTTGAAAGTTTTGCTGTGTAAGTATAGTTCCCATCTTTGCTATTATATCAAAGTCAAAGTTATTTGCTGATGATATATTACGTACTTTTGTTTAAAAAAGAAAAAGAAACGGTTAGAATTTTTGAAAGGGTGGACATTGGGTATATGTACTTGTTTCAATAAATGATTCTATCATGACAGTTCCTGAAGGTTGATTATGTATATCCTCAACACGAATGACACCTCCAGGCTTTAATGCGCGAAATATATCTTGGATGAGCAAAGTCCAGCGTGTAACATCAAGATAACCGGAACATGTTCTTAGATGAACGTAATCGACGGAATTATCTTTAAATTTTTCAAAAATTTCGTTGTAAGGCAATCCTCTTTCAAATGTGACATTTGGCAAAGGAGGAAAATCTTGTAAAAAGCTATTAGGTATAATCTCGATACCAAAAAAGCGGCAATCTGGGTATTGAGTAGCCAAATCCTACATATCATAAATCAATTATTTATCAGACCTCATTCTATCTCTTTACCATCATCCATGGCCCAGTACATGAGCCCATTTGAACAATAACTGCACCTTTTTGTAGTCTTGGTGCCACAGTCGGTGTAACGTTTCTGGAGTATTTTTTAAATAAGATTGTGTTCAATGTATGTTTTTGATATTTATAGTTTACCCTCCAAAAATAGTCTTTAAAGCAAAGTGGAGCTAGTATGGTTGTCAGTAATGAAACGCTACTTGAATAATAAAAAAAAAGACTTACATTGTAGTCATAGTTTTTTGATTCCCAATCCTTGGGTAAAAAGAAACTATTGGACTGATGCGAGTGAATGTGCTGTTTTTCAGAAGTTGAAGGCGAAGAGACAATTGAAGGTGAAGAATTGATAGCCGAAAATCGATTGATGATGCTCGACTGGTTGCTCATACTTGTGTTTGTTTTGATCGGTGTCGCTGGACGTGATATATCATTACTATTGTGAAGAACAGAAGGCTGGATCTTATTACTGCTATCATTACTACTGCTGCTGTTATTGCTATTGTTGTTAATGTGCTTCCCATGATTTGATCTTGTTGACACTGACTGAGGTTGACTTGAGGTGGTTGAAGTTGAATTTGTAGTTAAATATCTTTTACTATATAACTTCATGTCTTTTGTACTCGAGCTTGACTTCTTCTTGGACTGACTGACCCCCATAGTGTGTTTTGTGTATAATAGAAGAAAGAAAAAAGAAAGTAGAGTATGCGGAGATAACATAGTTTATATTCAACAATCACCTCGTTGCTTGTGCTACATTAAATCCAAAATAGTGAGGCGATTACAAGCGATTCAATGTATGTGTTACCATGGAGAAGCTATCACTGCGACCAAGCTTTTCACACTTTACTCCTCTTTTGCTGTCAGGGTAAAGAAGAGGATATCTTAAAAATAATAGCATGCCGTACAGTTTCCAAAAGAAGGCGATGATTCAAGCTTATACAAGGATAACTTCTTCTTTTTTGCGTAATGCTTATAAATTATTCAAAAGACGGCTCATATTGCTCCAAATTTGTGAGAACCCGCTGAAAGTATATACTACATCCTTTTCTTTCAGTTGATTTCATTGATTATGTGCGTCGGCTTGCCTAATCATTATTCTCATAGTGTACTGTAAAGACATTATTGTCGTGTTCACGTAAGAAGTAATAATTGCTGAGCTAGTTTAATGTCGATAAGGGCTCAGTACAAATGGCCATAAATGCTAACAATTCCGCGATTCAGTGTCACAACTGTGCAAAGATGTATTGATACACAGTTTATTTTTGTGATAATAGACCCACTTTATGTGGAATATCCTTTTCAATATCAACAACCCCAACCATAATATGACTTTTTTCTCGTCACGTTCATTGAGAAAAGGTAACCATTATGTTAGGCATATCCAATAATTCTGATAAAGGACAATATCGTTTTCGAATGCAAAAGATGAGGCCTAGAGTACTCACATAAATTAGGAATAAATCAGAAAAAATAAGCGAAGTGACCTAGGAGATATGCCACTGGTGTCAATGACTTGGGCCGCTTTAATAAACAAAGCGTTTTAAATAAAAACTCTTAATTTTTCTTGTTACAAAAGTATGAAGGTGTTTTTCTTAAGGAATCTTAGAAGATAAAGTTCTCTCCAGTATCATGCAGCAATTTTTGACTGAGCGCCTACGGAAAGAAAAATGTAAATTGCTTACAAAGGTCTCAATTGATGACATCAAGAAGTCATACAGCTTTCAGCAAACAAGGAATTTCGCTCAATCATGCATAGAGAGCTCACCATATTCGACTATTTATGAAAATGCCGTCAACACCCTGTACGGCCAACATTATGCACACATACATCAGGAACAATATAGATTACACTGACAGCACTCTTTCGTACTATTTAAGGACTGGCCTGATATTTGCGTGTCCTTTTTACCTTAACCCCTACTTCAAGTAAAACGATTACCTTGGTTTAATTAATACACTGGTACAATATCTATTGCGTGTGTAGTGTTGTCTTTCTAAAAGAGCACATCTGGCTTTGAACGGATTCTTCTTTTATAAGGACTTAACAAGTATTCCACGTAAACTAAAAGGCGTGAGCAAGATAGTCAAACATATTTTTATGAAAAGTGTCAGACATATGATGAAACATCCTTTGAACTTTTATAAATCCCTCAGACTGTATGAACCATTGTGGCTTATATCACTTACACTAGCTAAGGTGGTATTCATTAAAGATACTTGGCTTTGTTGGTCATATAGAATGTTCTTTTTTCTTCTTCTTCTTACATTATACGTAAAGAAGTAATAGACAGCAAAGTAATAATTAAAGGCAAAACTATCCGAGTGTATAAAAGCGTATTATATACATCGGGTTTATTATTGATAGCGCTGATTGTCATTCTTTTTTAAAGGGTAGCTCTATTGTTGGTCTAGTGTTTCACTATGATTATTGATGTTGCTAGCAACTGTAGTATTATTATTATTGTCATTATTGCTGTTACTGCTACTGCCGCTATTGTTACGACCCATGTGGTGACGGTTATCCTTTTTTTGCGCCTGTATTTGAATGATTGGAAACTGAATGACCCTTGGCGTTCTTTTCATCTCAGCTGATTGAGAATCGAGCAAGTAATTGTGTGTCTGAACTGTTAATGATCCCTTTCGTAATAGCTTGGAATAATCTAGGATGTGTTATTATATGAATGATCCTTTTGAAAGAAACTTACGCAGTCCACATGCATTACACAACGTTCTAGCTCCGTCTGGTCCTCTTCGCCATTCAGGTGTTTCTGTTGTATTACATGAATGACATCTTTGCCCAATCATGTTACGTTTCTAAAGAAAAAATACGAATTAATCATCTTTCAATAGTAAATGCCCTCTTTACATTTCTTCTTCGATATTTAGGTCTCATACTACTATCTTGCAAGTTTCGCGCTTGGCGGATCATTTCATATTTACTTGAATTAGGATCATCCTATGATCTAGTCAGTATTGTATTTGAATATACCTGGCCCCTACCTGTAGTGAACGCATGGGTTGCGACGATGGGAATGTGTTGTCTATTTCTTGATCATGATATTGAAACAGTTGATCATTTAGTGTCTTTAATGATCGCATCATAGATTCTGCTGTACAGTATACAAGATCAACAATTTTATTTCGATCTGTTTCAGTCAGAGCATCTACGCGATATCGTGCGATTTCCTTATGAATCATTGTACATTGTTCATATACCTAATACGTATTAATACTGCAGTATTGAATTAAAATTACTGGATTTACCTGTTTTAACAATAGTCTATCATTTTCTGGCTCTGGTTCACAGAAGCGCTGTGTTAATGGTGGTTGAGGTGGGGTAGGTGGATAATCGTGATGTACTGTGGACGAAGAAGGTTGAAATGGCAAGGGATGATGATGAGGTTGTGGTTGATGATATAGGTATATGTTGGGTTGACTTAATTTATTTACATTATATGTGAGCTCTGCTAAAGAAGGAATAGGTAATCTACTCATTGTTACCTGTAAGCTATTTCAACTATTATCATTATCAATTTGTTTACCCTTCACTCTGTTTTTCTTTATTGTCGCTGTTGTCACAGCTGCTACTGCTACTGCTACTATTGTTGTTGTTGTTATTGTTGTCGTTGCTGTTATTTGTAGTATTTCTTGTGAATGCTGGTAATGCTGATTCCTCAGAAATGTCTAGGCATAATTTAGAGACATCCATTAACTTCTGCTTATTATAACTTCTTTTAAAGTTATCTGCATAAAATAGGGAAAAAAGGGAAAAGAGAGAGAATAAAATTAAAAAATAAAAAAGGAAAAAGGGAAGAAAGGGAGCAAAAAAAAATGAAAAAAAGAGACTTTGTAAGGCAGAATAACATGTAGCAGTCACAGTATAAGCGATGCATCGATCTGGAATCGACAAATATACATTTATAGAATAAAACGGATCTCTCCTTATCATCTTTCGATCGTGATAGGCTATTTAAGGGATGACCCTTAGTCTCCAATGTGCAATTCTGGTACGATTATTGCATATAGTCACATGTTCTTAATTTAGCTTTTTCTCATAATCAGTATTGATGCAATTTAACATATACGCTTGACCATTTTAAATATCTCCTTTTAAATTATCGGATCAACAACGTAACACAATTTCATGGATTCATTCATTACAAGTAGGATCTTGATTCTGTCATACTCTATCCTCGAGTAATTGTGATTGAATAGCCTTTTATGAGAAAAATTGAGACACGACTGTACGCTGTCGGAATATAAATTATTCCTGAAATAACCTCGATTCCTGGAATGCTACACCTATCTACCAAAGGTTATGACAGAAACGAGATCTGACTGTATAAAGCTGTGTTTAGTCATTTAAAAAATTTATCAAAGTTAATAAGCGAAGAACTCATATTAGGCTTTATTTACAGAAGTTACTTTTTCACGCACGTGTTGTCTCTAAGTGAGAGTAGAAATGCCTAAACCTTGAGACTTTTTTTTAGGAGTGTCCTGTTTGTTTATTCAGAAAATGCAAGATTAAAGGAGTTACAGAAATAAAAGATACAGGTACTTTTTTGTATTAGTTCAAAGGGCATATCATAAAAAAATTATATAGCCACTGGTTAGAGAGAGAGAGAGCTTGTTGAATGCATCCATCATGAATAGTATCATGAGGCCGACAGGATGATGGAGGTTTTGGAACAAACGACAGTGACAGCAAGCATATAAAGAGAAAACTTGAGTTTATAGAACATGATGGTGAGGGGCTGGAAGAAAATGTCGTTGGAAATATCTGGTACATGTGAGGGATTCGTCTGCAGAACTACACCCGAAAACGTTTATAAATAAAGATTAAAGCCCAGAGAAGCGCGATCATGCGGATCAGAGGAGGATGATAAGGATGGTTTTTATCATCAGCAACATGGCCAAGTTTTACAAAATGACGATCAATTCATGGTACTTCTATAATGAAGCCCCTTATGTAAACAAACTTGCTATTGATTTGTATTTAATGGAAAAAGAAAAAAGGGGGAAAGGAAGACACATACAGAACTGCTCATTTTTTTTCATCTGTGCACAGCCTGTGTCACCTTTTTCTGTGGGAGGTTACTATGGCAATATCCTGGTAACAGAAAATAGATTCGTCTGGTTTGTAAAAGTAGCATCAAAGCTGTATTACTATAAAACAATTTAAATAATTAAGATACACAAAACCTAAGTATTTAATTTCAATTGTTTTGTTTAGGTAATTTGAAATAAAAATGTGGACTTTTACATTGAAAAGTATTTATAAAAACACCTCCATCTATTAGTGTATAAGTACAATAAACTCGTAATGTTGAATTAATTAGATATGATTGCCTGAGGTGACATGAACTATCCACAAAGGTTAGGGTTTAATTTTAGCGGATGCATAGTAGTTTGAGCCATTCATAAGGTATTTGCTGGTGATTGTTTATCAAGTGATCAGAGCAAATAGAAAACAGGTTTAAACCTTATTATGAAACAGTTTTTTGTGTTAGGCATTGTATCGTTGTTCTCACATAAACAAAGGGCCTGCCTTATCAGAGCCTACTCTTGTCCTTTGAGACTAATAACCCACTTTTTTTTATTCCTGAGCGTCTCTGATAAACACTGGAACTGACACCAACAAAGCATTGAAAATCTATATCCAAGTTTAAGTTTGATACTATTCATTTACATAGAAAGCATAGAACCTCAAGTTAAACAACCCCTTTTCGTTTCACGGGGCTTTCTTCCTTATTCATGTGAGTGAAACCTTCGGATTTAAAATGGAGCAAAAAAGCATGAATAACCCTCAAGTACCCTTAAAATATGCATCCCCTCGCTATTTTTAGTATTTGGCTATCGAGATATTGCCACCTCTTCTTTTTAGCCCTTTCCTAAACCTAATCAATATGCACCTAGCCATGTTATGTTGATGTATAGTAGTCTCTGGGAATAAAAGTAGTCATGTCGAACGAGATATTCCAAAATGGTTGCTCTCTCTCTCTGTGTGTGTGTGTGTACGTGTGTGCTTTATTCCCACAAGATTTTGGAGCTGTACTTCAAAAAAAACCCCATTGATCGTCAGTCAGATGTACAAATTATTCGCACACTGATAAAAATGATAATATCAGACAACAAATAATGATAAAAGAAAGTCCATCAGAAGCAAAAGAAGGATGGATAAAAAGAAATGATTAGTAAATCAGTTATTAAATTATAAAGAAGTGGATTTATAAGAGAAAAAAAAAGAGAAGCAAGAAAAGTGAGTAAAGTTGTTACAGAGATTGTTAATATCTTGCCAAAAGTGCATTAAAAGGCGCCGGCGATAACCAGCCCGGAGAAAGAAGAGAAGAGCAAGAAAGAGAGCGGATGGGACCAAAGTTTGGTAAGAGCTAAATTACCCCCAGCTAGCACCGGTACTGTTTCGATTTTATGATCTATAGAACTATATATCAATTTCTTACAAGAATAAATAATATAACATACCTTAGGTCCAGCTGAGGAATAGTTGGTCTTACTTTTTGGTCCAAAGAAGAAAAGAAAAAGAAGTCAAGGTCAGACTATTTATATGAAGTCTGTAACAACTTTTTCAATTACGTATTCTTTACAAGTGTTGACCACATTTATCTTTTTTCAAAAACATCAAGCTCGTTTTATGTATTATTACATGTTGTATTTTAAACAATAAAGAAGCCATAGAAAACAGCTGAAGTGTTGACTATTATTGATCTTTTAACGTGTGCGAATAGTTTCTGAAAAAAGTGTATAAATTGACAGTCCAGATGCACTGTAGACTCATGGTGCCCCAAGCCATTCCTGACCCACTGTCCTTCCTTTTAAATATGCTACCTACCAGGAAACCTCGCTCTCCTAACACAACACTCTCGTGGAGCATCCGCTGGTCAGCTATATGCAGAATCCTATATGAACTCGATTACCTATATCACGCTAAGCTTCCGCCATCTCCGCCCACTCACCTCGGGCAAAGACTCTTAGAATGGCTTCTCTCTTCTCCTTCTCACTAGTGTATCTTACACTTGATCTCATTCACTCCTTCCAAAACATTTTTATCCTTCATCCTAAAAGGGTTTTTTGTCACCACTATCCTTCCTTTATGAACTGCTTCGGGCGGGAAAGATGTAATATTACAGTCGTGCGCCCAATACTGGTTTTAATCATTTATAAGAAAAAATCTGTTTAAACGTACACCATATCCAGAAAGAGATATCGCTCTGGCTTGTCGCTTTTTCGTATAAATTGTATTATAAGATTGCAAAAATGCGACTTTACTTTCTGAAAAGACTGTATAAATTGACAAAATAGGAAAAGGAGCTAAAGAACTAAACGGTTTAATAGGATAAATTAAAATGACATGAAAAAAGCCAAAGTTATTGCTATTGCTATTCAAAGAAAAAGATCAAGATTACTTTGATCTGATTCATTTCAGAATAGCTTAAAGAATGCCATTGTCTTTAAGACAATTTAATTTTACATTATTAAACTGGTTGACTTTATTGAATTATGCTTGTACTTTATCAGTTGCCAATTTAAACACTCCTATCATTGCCCCTAGTTGCACCTTTTCATTGCCTCCTTCTCCTATTCTGTACTCGATTTCTGCTAGTTTATCAAGAATAAATATTCGTGACTCAGTAGGGAATTCGACAGTACGCGCATAATAATATATTTCACTTAGGATATCTTGAAGTGCTAATCCTGTCTCTCTTTTTAATTTCTCAATGTCTTGAAGAAATTAGCTTAATAGACCCCAAGTAAACATGTACACTTACTCGAGTAGGCCGTAGTAAATTCTTCTGTCATGATCCATTTAAAGATACGCTCAATATCCTGCGGGTGTGGATGCCCAGTACAGCTATAGATAGCATTTTCATCAATTCGATCATATGCAGCATGGCATGCTTGTAAGATGTTGAGTGCGCGACGCATATCTCCCTTTGAGAGTCGGAGCAATGCCTTCTTGCCGTCCTCGGTAAGGTCGATTTGTTCTTGATCTATAATTGTCTGTAATCTTGACTCTACTTGTTCGATCTCCAAAGGTGCAAATCTAAAACGGGTACAACGTGATTGAATGGCTGGAATGATCTTGCTCACGTAATTACAAATAATGCAGAATCGAACGTTTTTGGTATACTTTTCAATAATTCGACGAAGTGCTGATTGTGCTTGATTCGTCATGGAATCAGCTTCATCAAGAATGATCAACTTGAATCCTGAGCTATAAATATTTCGAGTACTAGCAAAGTTCTTAATTTGTTCTCGCACAACGTCAATACCACGATCATCAGAAGCATTAAGTTCGAGGATCATGGCCTTGAATCGTTCGCCATAAAGCTTCCTTGCACATGCCAGAATGGTGGAGGTTTTACCTGTACCGGGTGGGCCATAGAAGAGTAAGTGAGGAAGTCGTTTAGCTTCAATAAATGTTTCGACTATTACACGTTAATATGTCGTCCTTATATATATATATATGTATATATAGGTTTACTTGTAGAAGTGATGTCTTTATGAGACACGAGATCATCGAGAGTGGTAGGACGATATTTCTCCACCCAAGGCAAGTTGTCTAATTCTGGTTTTATAAGAGCGCTTTTGCCTTTTCCTTTCTTTAAGCTCTTGATTGAATCAATTTCCATAGCACTCATATTTCTAAAGAAAAAAAAAAAAAAAAAAAAAAAACTCCCAGTAAAAACGCGCCCAACTTATTTCGTGTCTAAATCTTTTTAACGTGTCACAACATTTTCTTGCATCGAATCTCTCACTCTCTCTTTCTCTGTTATGTTGCAACATTTACTAAGCTATCTCGGCCTCACTCTATGATAAATAAGCCGTTAATTACGATATAGTAAGACAAGGACCTATGATAGCATGTCTGCTAAAAATAAATAGCAATCCATTCAGTGAGCGTGAACGAGATAAGTAGATATGAACAGTTCAAAATGACACATAGCACACTAATCACTCTAATATATCACTTTAATACTCTTTGAGATAATCACGCTATGCATTCTCCATGGCTCATGTGGAGGTATTAACCCACGCTCACCATGTATGGTTGAAGGCGCAAGTGGAGGAGGACTGCTCTGCTGTTCTAAAAGATTCCCAAAAGAATTTCAAGATGAAACTGTCATGCCAGAGAACGGATATCCTCTATATAGACGAAGGCGAGTACCTGCTGAGGAACAGAACAATTACTTTTATTCTATAAGGCCATCTGGAAGAGTTGCTTCTGATTTCGTTATGGACAATAGGTGGGTTGTACCATATAACCCGTACCTATCCAAAAAGTACAAGGCACATACAAGTGTTGAAATTTGCGCTGGCATACAAGCAATTAAGTATGTTAACAAGCACATCTATAAGGGGTTGGATAGAATAACTTTAGAAATCGAAAATAGCCAAGACGAAATAAAAAAGTATCTTCAAGGAAGATATATTGGCCCAATGGAAGCTGTTTGGAATATTTTCCAATTCAAAACCCATGAAGGAGATCCCACGGTGATCAGCCTTCAGGTCCATCTACCTGGTGAACAAGCAGTCTGCTTTCCTTCAAATGCGTCAGCAGCAGAGATTGCAACGATTTTAGAAAGAAGCAAGACAACGTTTATGGCCTTTTTTAACTATAATACAAGAAATGAAGATGGAAGGTCATACCTTTATCAAGAATTTCCTCAGCATTTTGTCTTTGATGAAAGGTTAAAACGACGGAGGCCTCGCCAGCGAGGCTTTGCCATTGGCAGAATGCATCACTGTAGTCCTATTGCAGGTGAAAGGTACAATATTCGTTTTTTGTTGACTAGCGTCCGTGGCCCCAAGTCTTTTGAGGACATAAGAATGGTCAATGGTGTGTTGTACCTGACGATCAGAGAAGATTGCGTCGCTCTGCACTTGATCGAAGATGATCGTGAGTGGGATCGATGCTTTGCAGAGGCAAGACTTTTTGCAAAAGGTAATGAACTACGAAAGCTATTGTCACTGCGCTCTTGCAAGCCGAGTTGAGCAATCCACTAGCGCTGTGGGAAAGATACTGCAATGATATCTATAACGATCTCTCTAATAGACTTATAAACCTATTAAGTGATCATTTCATGACCCAGCTCCTTCAGCAAACATTCATGAATGACAATCCAGCTATTTACTACGGCTTCCATCTGCTTAATGACAAATTGTGGGGACACGGTAAAAGCCTCCAGATGTTCAATCTGCCTAAACTTCTCTGTGATTGGCAATCCTTGCTCGAGAGCCATGGTGGTAGGCAAAGAGAGAGAAATCCTCTCATTAGAAGAGCCTTAGATTTTGATTCTATTCTGGCCTTGGCCGACTTCAACAGAATGCATAGCCAGCTTAACCAACAACAGAAGGATGTATTTAATACCATCGTCCGCAAGATTGAGTCTGATCCTAGCAACAGCCAATTCTTTTTGCAAGGGTCCACCGGCACAGGCAAGACGTTTGTGTACAACGCTCTTTGTAATTACTACAAGAGTAAAAATGAAGTCGTCCTTAATAAAGCCGATGGTTTACACACTGTTCCTATAGAATACTTACACAGTTTAAACCCTACTGGCTTGCCTCCATCTAAGCATGAGTTCAAAGTTGGCGCACCAGTAATGTTATTAAGAAACATTGACCCAGCAAGAGGTCTATGCAATGGTATTCGCTTAGCATCTTTGACTAATAGCTGTAGTAACTTGAAAATGGATAGTAGAACTCTATTTAAGCGAGAATAAATACATCAATGAGGAGATCAAGGAGGGAGAGAAAGGGATTCTGCTATTGAACAATCATAACCAATACCTTGACAAACATATCATACATTTGTTCGATGAAACGCCTACATTTGAACCACTTTAAGGACCGGTCGAGGCATATCACTTTCTTAACACTTTGTTATTTATAAATGATGATTATAGTCATTCTTCTGGCAACTGCTAAATAAAGTGTGTCATTTATTAAGATATATTGTGTGTATCCAAATGGCACCATTGGCATAAGTTAACACTAGAGGTAGTATAATAGTGTCATTATGGTTTCATTGTTATAGCCATCATACATTTATCTTGGTATCATTCAACAGTATTCTCTGCTTAAGGGTACTAAAAAGAAGCATGACAAAAAAAAAAGCTCAGGAAGGCAGCAGCATCGTTTTGCTTAATTATTCTTTTCATAAAATGGACAACAGTTTACAAGAAACAAAAATGTAAGCATACCTTTTGTCAAAATAGAATATTAAAAAATGCCGTTGAATTATATAAATGTGAGCTGTAAAAGAAATACAAACCAAGAGAAGATCAGGACAGTATTATAAATCGAATAACTTGGTAAGCAGCATCCAGTGCTTTTATAATATAGTTTTGTGGATGAAGCGACTTACAAGATAGCGACTTATCTCCCAAAGTAGAATGGCCGTATAAAATCTTTAACGAATAATGGTTACACCATTGTCAGATATATCAAAAAGTCACCTGGGGCAGAAGTCTTTAACAAGCAATGTCATTAAGGTTAAAAGAAAGACCATTGGTGGACGTGATCTTTAAACCTTGATATCACTGGTGACACCCACGGTAAAGTATCAGTATATATTTCAAAAATATTAACGTTGGCATTCGGTGTAGGAAAGACAAACAGTTGTCAAGTTGCTGACATTGATACTCTTTTAACACAGATTAAAGCAACCATTGTCAAACTTATTGCCGTGTACAAACGATATGATTGTTATGGAAGGTTTAGAACGACTCAAGATATTTGAATGCAGAAATAATCGATACCAGAAGAGAACCGTGACAAGAATATAATTTTATTTTACTTCTTTAGTTTCCTCAATTTCCATTTCTTTTCTTCTTTCAAATGTTTTCTTACTGTCATCCGTCCTTTTCAATCAGTTATTGATAAAAATAGGCTTTTCTTTTAGGTTACATTGATTAGCCTCGATAAAAGAAGGAGAGTACACGAAAGCGTCATTTCAACGTGAAAAAAAAAAAGGATACCTACGTAGTGTTTAGCAAAACAACTGAGCTGGAAATAAAATGACAAAGTATTGAATAGAATGAGACTATACACTAGATGTCTCATAGCTTGTAAGTAATGTTCTCTTTGTCGAGAGACTTTTCTCGTTTCTGTTTTACTTTTTGACAACAAAGTTAGAAACTGTTTAATAGATTCAGTTTAGGAAAGTATGGAGAGGGAGAGTGAATATACTTTTTCTATATCATCTGAGCTATGAATAGAAACCTTATCCCTCTTCGATATTGTTTATAAATGAAGAGTAACCCTCAGATAAGGTGCACGGCCAAGCCTTTTTTTTTTTTTTTTTGAAACAGGTAAATTACTTGTGACCACTAAAGTATAAAAACTTAGGTGATGATAGGTCTTAACAAAGACACATACCCTTTACAAGAGTAGGTGACATAAGAATGGTGTAACCACCTTTACGTATATCAAATAGTACGTAGCCATAGTCACAGGATGAAATGTAACAGATATATAAATTTGATATTAGAAAGTATTTATATGGTTTATTATGTACACGTGTTTTTTAAAAATCTTAAAGGGCATATTATACACACACATTTATCAAAGGAAGGTATTATTATTTTTGTTTCTTTTTAGCTGAGGATGAGTCTGATCTTTTTCTTTTCCATTCAAGTACTGTTTGCTGGTGTTGATGAACAGGCTCACTATCCACTTGTCCCACACAAATCTTGAATCTACCTTTTTGTATACTGTAGTTACATGAAGGTACTGTCAGTGACTGGGTATCATTTGTGCATTTTTTATCACCGTCGTTACACTGCCAAAAGTCGGAATCCCAAATGCTTTTATTGGGTGAACTTTTGGAAGAGAAGGCGGTAATGGATGTCATCTGGGTCAAGTCATGATCTATGTCTTGTTCTTGTTCTTTAATCTTGATGCCTGCCATTTGAGCAAACTCTTTAGCGGTTAAATCTTCACATTTAATCATAGATTCATTGTTGTTATTATTATTATCCATATGTCTAAGCACTTTTTCTGTAGCTGCTGCTACTGTTGTAGGTGAAGAATATCTTCGACCAGATGAATAGTTGAATTTGTTCGTAAATAATGATACTAACCCTTTCTTCCATTTATTACTGTGATTAAAAGAAGAATGTCGTGGTGGGTTGTAAGTGACGGCAACCAAGGTCATAAGGATTCATACAATAACAGAAAAAAAAAGACGAGAAATGGTTTATAAGAGAATTATACAAGTGTTTTGTGTGTATATGAAAGAAAAAACAAGAAAAAGAAAAAAAAAATGCCTCAATTGTGATATGAACCCGACCATTCCCGGGGCTTATAAAAAAAATCTCACGTCGTACGGCCAAAATGATGACGGAAATTCAATTCAAAAGAAAAAGGAAAGGTGTTTCTCTTCATAATGGCAATAAAGAATGTAGACAAAGTAACCCTAGACAATAAGCAGGAACACAGTCATATCCATCAATATAGTATATTTGATAGTAAAAAAAAAAGTAAACTATTTACTTGACTACATAAAACTAACTTCAATTTAGCTGATGACGTTTTACCAAGTGTATTGCCCATATATAAAGAACTAGAGCAAGTAGATTTTTATGTTCATCATTGGGAAATAAAAGAATGGAGTAACCTAGACCAGCGTACTCATGGCCCAGTATTCGAAGTGGCTGGTTACAAATGGTATAAACATATACATATATATATGTGTATAAACAATAGTTAATAGTTCAAAAATATAGGCGTACTTTACTCTTCCCCAAAGGCAACGGGCAACATGAAATGGCGTCCATCTATCTCGAAGTTGTTCAGAATCAAGATCAAAAAAAGGATTGGGCCGTTTGTGGTCAATTTGCCATAGTGATATCAGATCCTTCCAATCCAAAGCATTTCTTTAGTAACCGTAATGTTGACGTCGTTGTCATTTAAACAATAATTCACACCCATTTATAGATGCTCACCATCGATTCTGTGATGAAGAAGTCGATTGGGGATTTACACGATACTATCCTTTAAAGACATTAAACTCGTTTTTAAAGAATGATCAAGTGACCATCTCCATCTTTTTAAGAATTGTCAAAGATGAAACAGGTGTTTTGTGGCATAACTTGATCAAGTAAGATAGAACCTACGGATGACCTCATACTCATCATCAATAGTTATGATTCCCGTAAAGAAACAGGCTATGTAGGCATCAGAAATCAAGGAGCAACGTGCTACATGAACTCTTTAATACAATCACTTTATTTTACAAACATATTCAGAAAGGCAGTATACAAGATTCCCACCGAGAAAGAAGATCCAAACAATAGTGTTGTTTTGGCACTTCAACGATGCTTTTATAACCTCCAATTTGCAGATGAATCCGTTGGTACAACAGAACTCACCAAGTCCTTTGGTTGGGATTCATCTGATGCGTTTATGCAACACGACGTTCAAGAGTTTAGTAGAGTCTTACAGGACAATCTCGAATTGAAAATGAAAGGAACATTAGTAGATGGTGCAGTGACAAACATATTCATGGGGAAGATGAAGAGCTTTATCAAGTGTATCCATGTTGACTATGAATCATCACGAGTAGAAGACTTTTATGGTAACAGGACACTCTACATGTATAAAAATATCTTGCTCATGATTTTGTAAGATATCCAACTTGATGTGAAGGGATGCAAGAATGTAGATGAATCATTTAAAAAATATGTAGCATTAGAAACACTGGATGGTGAAAACAAATATATGGCAGAGGGGCATGGACTACAAGACGCATGTAAAGGTGTATCTTTTGAAAAGTTTCCACCTGTACTACATTTACAGCTGAAACGATTTGAGTATGATATGCAAAGAGATACCATGGTGAAGGTAAAGATAGAATGTGTTATTCGAGATAAAAGAAAGCTTATATCGGGAGTTATAGATCAACGATCGCTATGTATTTCCAGATACCATGGATTTACGTGAGTACTGCTCAGCGCCCAGTAATGATCCAGATGAACACATTTACGTATTACATGGTGTTCTTGTTCATAGTGGTGATATTGATGGAGGGCATTACTTTGCACTGTTAAAACCTCAAAAGGACAGCAAATGGTTCCGTTTTGATGATGATCGAGTGACACCAGTGACATTAAGGGAAGTATTTGAGGATAATTATGGTGACGATGACCATGATGATGAAATACGATGCACAAGTGCAAAAGCATTAAAAAAGTTCACAAATGCTTACATGCTTGTCTATTTTCAAAAGAATAAACTTGATGAAATATTAGCGCCTATCGAAGAAGACGAAATACCAAAACATTTGAATAAATCAATCAAGGACAATGCAAGAGCTCTAAAAGATGATGTTATCAACACACTCTTACAACAGCAAAGAAATCCAAAGAAGGACATTCGTCTAAAGAAGACAGGTAGTCAACCTAATAATACTACAAGCGATAAAAAGTGTAATATAATGTAAATTTTTTTTATATGTACTATAATAAAGTTGCTGTTTAGAAAACATCACTTGAGGGTTCCCAGTTCAGCATGCATCATGTGGTGATGCTTATAAGCCCAATGACCTCGTGTTTCTGAAAATGGAGTTGAGAAGGTCATCGGACAAGGTTTACTTCATCTTGTAAAATGATTAGCGGGACTGTTTTCAGCGATGTGTGAGAGTGTTATTTTGAGCCACATCGGATAGCATACGAAGATTAATTGAAAGCTGTGGGTATGGGTGTGCATATCTTCCACCCTATTCCCCTGAACTCAGTCCAATCGAATAATTTTGGTCAGTTATAAAAAGTAAATTGGACAGGAAGTACAATGGAACTCTTTGTGTTTCTTTTATTTAAAAGAATAAAGATAAAAATATTAAAAATGATAGTTACATTCATTGTATGGATTTATGTTTGATAAGTTTATGTTACTGAGCTTTTGTTGTTGACGTGTAGACACTACTTATTGACTTCTATTTACTGTAGAATACGACACTTCCAGTCCCAATTGCTGAAACAGAAGATAACCTTTGTGTTCCTTCTTCTTGTTGATGGGGGTTTTTGAAGTCTTCTTCATACAATCCTGTAAAATAGCTATGTCAGTTGCTCGATTACTCTATGTGGCTTGTTTACAGATGCATTTTTTGCCTAGGATTTTCCTGATTTTTTAGTACGAGCGTGACATTTGAATCAAAATGAGCGACAGTATTACCTCCGGCGTTTATGAAGAATACCTTCAGTTTACAAAGAGTCTCTTCCTTGGTAAAATACCATGTCTTTAGTATCTTGCGCATGAAAGTTAGCACTCCAAACGAACCTCATACATGATCATACCAAAAGCGACCTAAATCTTTGCGGCCATAATGGCCTGACGTCTCTAACAAGCATGCTTCAATTCCCTCTATCTCAATCAGGCCGCCGATTTTGTAATCCTTATTCGAGGCGTCCAAGAGTATCTCAACGGGATGAAATCTGACTGTAGCTCTCATTTTGGCAGCCAAGGCGATTATTGATCAGATTATTTGATGGTTGAACATCACTTTGCTTTCTTCGATTGCTGGTCCCGTTGTTTATATAATGACATCTACACATCAAGAGCAAAAACTTAACTTTAAGTTAATAATATAAACATAAAACTTATACTAGTTGAAAGTAGTCATAAACATACTTTGCTGCTAAATCGGATTTCTCAATCAACTCCCAAAGTTATTCATTCAGAAGGACTTTCAAAATTTACCTAAGCAGGCTTTGAAAGATGTAACTGGTTAAAGCATTATGCAACAAGAAAGGTGATTTGATGACCTGCTTCATATTATTGCCAAAATGCTGGTACAGGTCTTCATCTTGGCTTGCACTTGTTTGTATATCCACATTCAATATGTGGTGTTTTTTAAGATTACATTTTAGATATGTGAGTAATAGAAATATAATAATAAGCATTGTCTCATAGCTTACCAGCACTTGTGGCAATCACAGTCTTGAAGATACTCTTTCTAGCTGTTCGAAAAATCATCTTCGCCATTGATTTTCCAGCATCGATCTTCGTCTATAGCTGAAATCTTTCTTATAATAATACGAGAGATTAGATGAAAAATCAATCTAAGATGAAGCGCCTTTCTTTTTTTTACTAGATTCAACTTGAATTGAAAAGCAATGTAAACAAGTTGGCAACGGTTCAAATGGTAGGATTACACTTACCGCTTTTTGTACAGTAACACTACCAATACTATAGTTTGCGTTATTGTATATTGTCAAGCTTCCTCTGCTTATTGACGGAGACAGATATTCACCTTGATCATTTCTTTGACCATGTTATGCCCTGTTTACTTCTTTAAGTGACTGTAGTTTATGATTGCTATGAAGGAAACGCGAAAGAAATGGTCAAGAAGAGAATTAAATGCCAACTTTTTCAAAATGCATGCTTCATCTGAGCCTATTCATTACTCTGAAAGCAATCTCAACGTGCTGTCAGCCATTGTGCTCTTAGACAGTAACTTAAATCGCGATAAATAATTATAATAATTTTATTATTGCCAAATTGGAAGACAAAAATGAAATGATAAAGGCTCTATCGTGTTACGCTCTATTTTCAGGCAATATAAAAAGTCAATCCAAAGTACTAGGAAGTTAGTACTTTCATTTGACATAGTTTTGCTATCAAGACGTGCATTGCAAAAGAAAAAAAGAGGATATTATATTTATTCAATTGAGTGCAACTGTGCATATTTAATATAAACTATATTCTACACTTTCCTTCATAATTTCTTTTGCTTTATCAGACTCTACTTCCATGTCTTGTTGAATAAGCCTCACACCGCATTCTGGTACCAGTACCTGCTGAATATATTCGATGGGTTTTAATGGCCAGCATTTCTGTTTAGTTAATTCTTTATCGAGGAATAGCTGACAAAGAGTTTCCATCATCTTTTCCGCTCCTTTCATACCATAATAACCAGGCTATGACATATTAGATATTGTGTCTCTTTCTCTTTTTTGTACCAGTGTTGCTTCAAATTGGTTCATCATCTCAGTCGTGTCTCTTGCTTTGTTTGCTCCAACTTGTTCAATGACTCTTTTTGCTTCTAAAGCAAAGCTGCTCTCTGCTTTACCATCAATTATAACCAACAAGTCATCTTTGAATGCTACTATTCTTGACGCCAGCTTATCAAAGTCAATAGTTTCTGGATATCCCTTTTCTCTCGCACGTGGTTTTAACTCTAATTCTCTTTTATGTGTTTTACAAATCATCTTTTTATCCTCTTCTAATAATCCATCACCATGCATCATGAATGGTTCTATAAACACTCTTCCTTCTGCCTTTTCTTGATATATTCTTTCCTCGTACATCTTTCTTTGATCCTGTTCATAAGCAACTTTCTTGTCTTTTACTTTCTTGACAGCTTTTTCCAATTCCTCAGGATAAGGTGGTATCAACGTTTCATAACAAAATGGACATTTAAATACTAAATAATCCTGTTAACAAGGCGTACATTATCTATTGACTATATAAACCATCTTTTTGTTCGTTTGGTGTTTTCATAGCGTTGTTGATGTCATTGATGATGTCACTTGTTGACTCTTGATCAGTTTTTGTTTTTCTTTTTGGCATCGTCAATCGTTTATTTCGTGAATGACTCACTCTACTAACAGATGTAGCAGTAGAAGAGGTCCTATTAGACGGCCCAATACCAAATATGTCTGAGAACTTTGATAAATCGACGTCTGCTGCTACTCTCTTTTTATGTACTCGGCCTTCTGCTGGTTTCATTAAAGAAAAGAAAAAAGAAAAAATAAGGAGTATTCATTGACGCGTAATTTCTATATATGAAAAAAACGATTGAACACTGGGTAATACATTTAACGAATTATAACCGTATTTTCAAGAGAAAGAAGGACGAAGAGAGCATAAGAGAGACTATCACAGTAAGCATAGGATGCAATGAAATGAACACAAGGACACCTTTTCAATTAGAAAAAAAAAAAAGCAAATAATACGTTCTTTTCTTAATTTGAGTCACTATTAGCTTGTATATTGATCAAGGCAAGCTTAATAACAAAAAACCATGACTAAAGAAGGATCAAAAGAAGGAAGGGGGGTTTTGTTTGTTTGGTAGAGAATGACTGTGTGACTTTGAAAACAAGCGTTTTCATCGAATGCAAACCGCGCTTGATTTTATTGCGTTTTTTTTTTTTTGGTTGTTGTTCACAAAATGAGTTACGAAAACAGAGGCTACAGATCACGTCAAGAAGGTATAGTTTATATATCCATGCTCTTACATGTATTCACTTTTATAATAGGTGGTCGTTATAGACAGAGTGGAGGAGGAGGAGGAGGAGGAGGAGGAGGAGGTGCTTATCGCCGTAGAGGTAAAATGTCAGAATTTTTTTTTAAATTAGCATATTGACGTGTTTATTAGATGAAAGAAAAAGTTATAGCAACCGTCGACCTTATGATCGACCACCTGAGTCACGAAGAAGTGACGATTTGGAAGATATTGAGATCAAACTCAAGGGTTTGATCATAAAGATTGGTGACAAGGTATTTACATTACATTACAAGATTTACTAAAACTCACAAAAAAACATATTAGTTTACACCCGAATTGCAAGTTAATTTAACCAAAATGAGGAATATTCTAGACAGTGATTATTCAAAGTATCCAGAAACTGTTGAAAACACATTGACAGCTTGGTAAAATATAGAAACACAAATAAATGATTTGTTACTAAACCTTACATATAGTGTGTGCGAACTTCCTGCCAAAGCACCTGTTTATGGTACTTTGATTGGCTTATTAAATGTATCCAGACACGACATTGTCGCTAAATTGATGATCAACTTTAATAAGGCTTTGGCAGAGGCTGTCGAGAAATTAGATTGGTTCAGATTGAAGCAACTCTTGAGATTTTATGGTGAACTTGTCAATTCTAATACAGTTTCGCCAACAACATATGCTAATCTTCTTTTGGACTTGTTATCTGCTTTGGATCAGCCTAACCAGCTTCGCAGACGATTGGACAGCGTTGTGTATATCATACTTTCCACTCTTCCTTGGTGTGCTCGAGAACTCAGTGAACGTGGAGCTTCTGAATTCGAGCAGATTTTGAAAAAGATTGAGATTTATATGCAACGTAGAGGGGACACAAAGGTACCGGGATTACTCAAACAATATGATGATAAACGTTTTGATGCGCTCAAGGAGGATGTAAGGATAAAGATACAAGACATACTTGATGTTTAACCTTTTCTTTATGTACAGCCTTTAGCACATATCTGGTCTCTTACTCAAGAACTTCAAACAAAATCATGGAGAGTGAGTATATCTTGTAACCTTAGACATTTATTCTAATCTATTCTCCAGGTCCCACTCATCCCTAAACCTCATCGTTGGTTTGACAGTGAATTCAGTTCTGCCCTTCAGCATGATATACCTAGACTTTATCTGGCTCATCACAAGGACTCTGTTCAATATATTACACCTGCACCTAGTCTAAAGCTCTTTGCCGATGATGCAGGAAACACATTACCTGTTCTTCCTGATCACGAAGGCCTTGAATACTTTATCCTTCAAGAGCTTATTTCAGACATTTTACACTTGTATGAAGTAAACCGTAAAGATTGTGCGAAATACTTGTTGAACCTTCCACATAACTGCGAGCCTAGATTCTTTAAGCCCGCATCGTCGGGTGATGACGATTCAATGGATGAAGACGATGAAGAAGAGTCCTCTGGCTGGGTTTTGTCTGATCTTTTAGCCGAGGTAAAAGAAATACAAATACTTATGGTTCTCCTTTTAATAAATTTATATAGAGCGTATTTGCACATCTCCTTCGGCTTCCATCTTCTAATCTCCGTGAAGTGTTCTACTCTTGTGTGGTTACTGAACTTTGCAGAGCTGACGTATCGACATTCCCCATGTCTTTGGGTCGAGCTGTCAAGACTCTTTTTGACCGTTTGTCATCTTTGGATGCTGAATGTATTCACCGTTTCTACTGTTGGTTTTCTCATCACTTGAGTAACTTTGGCTTTCAATGGGACTGGAAAGCATGGTAAGAAATGCCTATGAAACGACTTGTATCAAACACTTACTTTCATGTCATCAGGGAACATGCACTCACAATGGAGCCATTAGCCCCTCAAGCATGCTTTATAAGAGAACTATTGGAAAAAGAAATTCGACTAAGCTACTATGAACGTGTCAAATCAATGCTTCCAGAAAACTATCATGTCATGATTCCAGCCACTGCCCCTGTACCCAGCTTTAAATATGAAAGTGCAGAGGATCCATTGCATGCTAAATCCAAAGAAGTTATTGATAGTATTCGTACCAAAAAGAGCGTTGAAGAGCTAAGAGATCTTCTTTCTCGATATAAAGAAGAGTTTGCATCAACAGATGTCTCATCAGAAGTAGAGCAACAATCAATTATCCGAGAATTGTTCACCCAATGTCTCTTACTTGTTGGATCCAAGAGTTTCTCTCATGTATTGAATGTGGTCGAACGATACTTGGAAGTACTTCGATTTTTGAATGCAACTCCTGAAGGACGTCTTCATACTGTACAAATTGTTTCTAGTTTTTGGAAAGATAACACACAGGTAAAATAACCATAAAAGACAAATTATTCCATTTTTGTTAATAAATTCAATACATAGTTCTTAGGTATCCTTGTGGATAAATTGTTGAACTACCGAGTTATTGATCCTGCCTCTGTTATCACTTGGATATTTGAATCAGATCAATTTAAGCAAGTTGGAAGGTAAGCAATGAAACCAAGATTGAACTGTATATTCACTGCTCAATATATATATATATATATATAGAGCTTATGTTTGGGAAGTGTTGAAGAATACATTAAGTAAGGTCAATTCCCGTGTTGCACAGGTGAAATCTAAGCTAGATAACCTCCAATCAATTCATGAGGTCAATAAAGCAAAGAGATCTGAATCAGAAACAACTGAAAGTAAGAACAATAAGCTGTAGTGTAACATGATATAAATATCTTTAATTAGTGACTGAAGCCGAAGAGCAGCAAGAGTTGGATTCGATTCGTATTGTCGAAAACTCACTCGCGACAGTGACAAGAGAAAGAAAAGAAGTGTTTTTACTTGTCTGCCAAAAGTTTACACAGATGCTCAAGGCAATTGAACAGGACTCGAGCTCGAATCAATGGACGATCTGGTGGGCTTTTGGATGGTACAAGGAGATTCTTCGTGTGGTAAGTCCCTTATTTAGTCTAGTTGATGGTGTAATGTAGGTCATTTATCTTTATTATATAGAATTATAAAGAATGTAAAGGATTCATTACAACCCTTGAGACATTAGTGTTTACACCAGATTTGGATAAGCGTATTCTGGATGTATTTAATGAAGTTAAGCAGCTGGCAGAGCAAGATGATCTTTTGATATAATGACCACTTAAACGGATAATTAGACTTACAAATAAATATGCTTCCTTGTGACACGATTTATCTTATGCTTATCTGTGTTCTCTGCAGTAAAATGATATTTAAAGAGAGAGGCAAAACGGGAGGGTATTTTTCGATTTCTTTATTCAACAGACAGTATGCGTATTCCTCTTATCTATCCTTTTACCCTTGTAGTCATTGCTAGCCTTACCAATGCTTCTGGATATCACAAGGCCGGGCATCACAAGCACCATGGTCAACCAAAGGGGAAGGTCTTTGATCACTTTCTTCAAATATGGTTTGAAAATGAAGTAGGTCTTGTATTTTCGCAAAAGTCCCACAAAAAATAATGATTTATTCCTGTTAACAAGGATTTCGATACTGTCACAAAAGTGCCTGGATTTAGAGACCTTTTGAAAGAAGGTATCCTTTTGGACAATTATAACGCCATCACTCATCCATCGCAACCAAATTACGTTGCTGCTGCTGGTGGTTCTACCTTTGGCATCACAGATGATGAATACTACAATATCTCGGTCAATACCTCGAGCATTTTTGATTTACTGGAAGCTAAAGGCTTGACTTGGAAAATGTATCAGGAAAATATTCCTTCTGCTGGTTGCACTTTCTATAGGTCTGGAACCTATGTTCGTAAGCATAATCCTGCTGCTAGTTTTGATTCTATAGGATTGAACAAAACTCAATTGGAAAACATTGTTGGAGGTAAGAACAAGACATAGTGGTCAAGACTCCATTTCTTCTCCCCCTTTTTGCTTAATCTAATTATAGGCGATCAATTTCAAAAGGACATTGAAGCCGAGACGCTTCCTAACTGGATGTTGTAAGTAAAAGCCGTGATATTGCATGCATTTATCCCTTTTCTAACTGTTTGAAACGTAGCTACACTCCCGATATGAATAGCGATGGTCACGGTAAAGAACGTATGATTCTTTTTAAGCAGGCGTCTCATTATTTTAAAAAGATACCAATGCTACTTATGCTGGCAACTGGTTAGCCAACTTTTACAAGACAACGTTAAACAATACAAAGCTTCTTGACAGAGCCGTGATCTTGATTACTTTTGATGAGGTTCGCTGTTCTTTTATGTCTATAAAAAATGAAACTAAAAATGTTCTAGACCAAGACATACACTATCAGGAACAGAGTCTGGTCTCTCTTGATGGGTGCTATTCCTAAGCAACTGAAGGGTACAAAGGATAGTAATTTTTATACTCGTAAGCTGACATATAGATATATATAATCTAGATCTTTAGTATTATTAACATTGTCGCACTTTTTTGTAGACTATTCTACACTAAGCACGGTTGAACATAATTGGGGCTTGGGTAACTTGGGTCGTCAGGACACGAATAAGACGGTTTCCAATGTTTTCGAGTTTGCCGCAAAGGCACTTGACTATAAAAATGTGATTATTCCCGAAAACGAGATTCCCTGGATGAACAACTCAATACCAGGTCCATTAACAGGCAAATCTTGGAATGAAACACATGGCGCTTCTTTATAGCCAAATAAAAGTATAATATTATATCTTGTGTACTTGGCTATGACAAGAGATGCTGTTATTTTTAAATTGCGTGGATTTACCAGAATAATGCGAAAAAGCCGTTATTTTTAAAAAGAAAGTGACAGCTCCCCCTCTAAAGCAGTTATGGGTTGTCCAACCAAAAGTCGTCAAGAAAGGGGGATCATAAAATACATTTGGGTTAAATCTCATAAGAATCTCCCCTAGAAACATGCTCGCTTTTAAATCTAGTGTATATGCCCTGAGTCATGATTACAGCAAAAAGATTTATAAGCATGCCATTCTCAGATATACAAGCTTTTTATCAATTCGAGTTGCAATCATGCTCTTTCCCTTTTATGTGAAGCAACAATGCAACAAAGGATGCATGTTTTTCCCAAGAGTGTCAACTTGAAGGTACCAACTACATTACTAATAGACACTGAAGCAAAATCTCTTGTTAAAATCTGCATTTAAAAAGTGAAACGACCTGATCGTCTGGTTACTGAAAACACCCATGCGGATCCAAGAGATTCTTGGTTTCTGTAGATGAGATTGCGCAAGCTGACGAAAATGATTCACTACCCAATTGGATTCCCTTTTTACACGATTTTGTAACCAGAATACCGGGAATACACAGAAAGACTCCATTGTGTCATTTCGGCAGCTTGTTTTCTACAGTTTGAGAGCTTTTTTTTTTTTTTATCTTGACAAGATCTTGATTCTAGACAAGCATCACGCTCTGCTTCTCAGTTCAAACTGTGATGCGATCAGCTGTGGAAAACAAATGTATGAATATAAACAAAAGAAGACATTAGACACTGTGGGAAATTTGTCATCTCCGTGGAATACGGACTTAGTGCTGTTGTGCATCTCCTTCGGAGCTATAAAAAGTTCTTTATATTGTTTTGATCTGATTTCCCTCCCTCTCTCTCTTTCCCTACTCTTTTTATCTGCTCTTTTCCATGACTGACACGGTACAACCACCCGATCAAATATCAGCAAAAAAGACATTGCACCAGAGATTAATTGATTCACCAATTGTAGCGTGTGTTTGTGGTAGCGCTATTTTATGGATTTCATTTGGTATACGACAAACCTTTGGAGTCTATCTAATTCCTGTCACTCATGAAACCGGATGGAGCCGTTCGACATTTTCGATTGCTGCTGCCTTACTTCAGCTCCTCTGGGGCTTCGGTCAGCCATTCATTGTATACCTTGCAGAAAGAAAGATAGGATTTGGTAAGACGATATTCTTTGCATCCATTTTTTATGCTGTCGGCTGCTTCATACTTTATGCCTCCAGTCAGTCTCCTGGTCTATTTATTTTCGGTATGGGTGTAGTTATTGGCATAAGTGTTGGAGGAAATTCCTTCCCGATTGTTCTGGCCTCCATAGGTCGAAGGTTTCCTCAAAATTCAAAGTATCAAAGCATCGCCTTTGGTATCGTTTCAAGTTTTGGCAGTTTTGGTCAATGTCTCTTTTTGCCAATTGCGAGAGGCATGATCGATACCATAGGATGGAGATTATCTCTTGTTATTAGTGGTATGTTTGATTTTTTTCTCGATTTGGATATCTATCTAATTGTACTTCCGAGATAGGTGTCATCATTGCTGCGCTTTCACCTTTAGCCTATTTCTTACAATCAGTTCCGCCCAAACCTGCCGAAAGAGCGTCTAAAGAAGATATAGAAGAGACATCCACCACAAGTACAGTGAGTGAGAAAGAGACGGCAGAAAAAAAAGTAAATGACAAAGAAGAGAAACAGCCGGTGGTGGATATTTCGGCTCCTAATATAAAGACAGCATTGAAACAGGCATTTACTTCGCCTATTTACATATTCATCACCCTGGGCTTCTCCGTATGTGGATTTCACATTGCGTTTATTGCCACTCATTTCCCTGCCTACTTACAAGATCGTGGCATTGACTCTTCACTGGCAGCTTGGACTATTTCTATCATTGGCCTAGGATCAACATTTGGTACCATACTCGCAGGCTATCTCTGCACTGTCGTTCAACCACGCTTTGTGTTGATGAGCATCTATTTGCTAAGAGCAGTGCTGATTGTCATCCTCTTATTTCTTCCTACCACCGTTGCCTCCACTGTCGTCTTTTCCGTTCTGTTTGGCCCACTTTCGCTCTCGACTGTGCCACCAACGACCAAGTTCATTGGTGATTCATTCGGGCATAAATATTTGGGTACATTGACATCCATTAGCTTTATCGGACACCAGATTGGTTCCTTCTTGGGTGCATACGTTTCTGGTGTTATCTATGATCGTACTCATGACTACAGTCGTATGTGGTACGGAAGCTTCGCAGTGGCCATTCTTGCTGTTGGAGCTAACTTCTTGGCCGGATTTGCGCCTATTGTAAATAGAAAACCTGTTGTTACTAAATAAATGAATATTTTATGCTTGAGGCATAAATAATATTAAATAAAACGTCTGCTTTTTGTTTGTGATGTTTCGAGCAGTGTAACGATGGCATTGAAGTTAGAAAAAGATAAAGAATACCCATGTTAATAGTGGCGCAGTAGTAACAGCTACGTTGTTTGATTTACCCTTTAAGAGTAAACTCAATTCATTTTTGTTGCCATTATTCTAAAAAGATACTTGTATGAGATATATTGCTATTATATGGATAATTTTTGGTATTCTTTCATATGAAACTCATGGATTCTACACAAGAATAAAGAGTTGCAATGCATATTCAAACATGGTGACAACAATATGCAAAAAAGCCAAACGATGCTTATCATTCAAAACGCTTGTCATACATGCAGTCTATCCGGAAAAAAGAACCATGGTCTCGATACTCTTTTTATTCGTGTTTTTCATATCACTGCACCAAATGACAAGATGGCGTAGTCGAAATGCCAAAAAAAGGTTTAGAGAATAAGTTGTTCCTTGATCTAATTGGAAACAATGCAAGAATTTCGAAGAACGTCGGAATTTGAATACTAGTGTTGTGACTTGTATATAAAAGTGAATATCAATCCACTCATGGTTTGTCAAGAGGTGAATCTTTCCTTTTTACAAGCACTCGACACAGGAATATGACTGTAAGTTTGGATAAAGCCAAAAGGAAAGAGTTGCCATGTGCATGGATGAAGGATGTATAGAAAAGATGGATGAAAAAAAATGAGTTGAGATGGATGGATGGATTATGTAGAACTGAAATGATGGAAAAGAAATTTATATAGAATGAATACAAAAAACAGAGAATGAGAATAAATGCTGCGCAACATGCATAATTACAATTCTCCATTTTCACACACACCCACACGCACACACATTTCACGTACATATTTATACACTGTTGTTACAACACATGAGTAAAGGGTTATATATAAATATATACAGATCAACATAATCATGCACATGGCGATTTTCTTTCCATTAGTTACTCATTCTGAAACTAACACTTTTGTATAGTTGGCCGTCGATCTTCTTAACCCTTCTGTTGAACACGAAAAGCGTTCTCACAAGCTCAAGAGACTTGTTCAGTCTCCCAACTCCTACTTTATGGATGTCAAGTGTCCTGGTATGTGAAGCAATGTATATAAAAGTCAATCTCGCTAACAACAATTACAGGTTGCTTGAACATTAGCACCGTCTTCAGCCATGCTCAAACTGTTGTCTTATGTTCATCTTGCGGTACTGTTTTATGCCAACCCACTGGTGGTCGTGCCCGTTTGACTGAAGGTTGTTCTTTCCGCAGAAAGGCCAACTAAAGAAAAAGAAAATAAAGGACGAATAAATGCAACCATTATTTCAATTTTTATTATTGTGTAAAGTCATAGTAAAACATGAGAGCATCTACTAGTTTGTCAGGACTATTCTTCAATCTTCCAGCATTTGGAATACGGCCCACTTGCTGGAAACCGAGCTTTTTCCAGATGGCTATGGAACCTGGGTTGTTTTCAAATACAAGATTGAACAAGGATGCCTTGTAGCCTATAGCAGGAACAAGTGTTTTGAATGCTTCACCCATAGCCACTCCTGCACCCACTCCACGGTAATGATCCATGACAAAGAATCCTCCGTTACAAATCTAACATGATGAGTGTTTATGTGGGAAATAAACTAGCCGCAGCACACTTACGTGGGAACATCGACCAGGATAATTAGGCTTGATGTAAAACATACCAATGACCTTGTCAGTCCAATCATAGTCTACTTGAGGTTCAATTATGCCGTCTTTGGACATGACAAAGGCATCGTACCTATTTGGTGTTACTATCTTGATTTAATTGACAGGCTATTTGTTTACCCCAAGAAATAATCTCTAAACTCCTGCACATTCAGCGTATTTTCCTGGGGATAAGTCGAACTGAGCAGAGAGTGTAAGTTTGGTCCGACGTTATCAAAAAGTAAAAGTTTACCCGTCCTCAATCTCTTTATTGAATCTTGAATGAAGATAATCGACCAAAGGTTTATTATTTGGATCTACTTGCTGGATATAACCTTCAATTCCATTACGCAGTATCTTCTTTATAGGCAAAATAGCACTCAAATCAGATGTTCCTTGAGGTTTGGGAATACGACCGTAAGCACTTGACATGGTTAAGGAAAATAGAAAGAAAGAAAAGTCAAGAGGCTTTATGAGTCAGAATAAAAGGAACCAGTGAAGCATATGTCTCCGCTTTAAAGGGAAACAACAGTAAATGTTTTCCCATTGCATGGTGGCATTCCCGTATCGATATTGGTTCATTTATCTTAGTAGAGAGTATGCGCCATTGGTACCAAACCCCTTTGTGTCTGATCAGACGCGTTACGTTAACACAGGCCTCCCTTTCTACAAGATCTGTCTTTGATCCCTAAGGGAGATTATATTTTTCTTACTGCCAAGCGATGCCGCTGTGGTTGTATCTTTCGAGTTCTATACCGAGTCATTCATAGTACTCCCTGTTGGACGAAGTAATGGTCCTATTTTTCTTTTGAACCGTTGCTGTAATGCTTGATTCCGCCTTCTTTCATGGTAAACTCCTATACAAAGCGCTTCTTATACCGTGATTCTTTCATTCTATATGATCATCGTCGCAGTCTCCATTTAAAACTGTCCTAATGAATCTCTGGATCATGTATCCCCAGGAAACAGCATGACCCAGCCTATTTTAGTTCAGTGGACGTTGTTCAGTCTGTTTTTTTTTCCCCGTCTCTCATTGGCTGTTTATTTGATAGACTGATTGCTTTCTCTCTCATCTTTCTACTCTTTACCCAAACACAATTTTAATTGAGTTTCTGTGCCTTTTATAAAGAAAATTTATTGTATGCTGTATATATAAAACTTGTCTTTTTTTTTTTTTCTGATAAAAAAAAAAAGAAAAGGGATATGTAATTTGTTGAAGTGTGCGAGTGTGTGTGTGTGTGTTTGTGATGCCAAGATGATGTATGATATAAATGAAAAAATAAAGAATAAAAAAAAAGAGTTAATCGAGATTCCAAACGTTATCGCGTACAAATTCAGCAATAGCCTCAAAGAAACCGCTCTAATAAAATAATAATTCAGCAAGAGTAATACTATGTATATCTCAAATGAAACTTACCTGCATGCAGGTATCATTATGAGTACCATTTTCAAAAGCTCTCCACACTTTAACACCACTTGTCTGACAGATGTTGTATAGTTTTGCCATATGTCCTGGAGGAACAAGTTCGTCCTTTTGACTGGATAAAAACAAAATGGGTACGTGGTGAACATATTTAATCGTCTTGTATGATCTCCATGTTTGATGTACTAAATAGACCAAATGTCTTAACGCAGGGAATATGTGAGGCACCAGTAAAGGCTAGTGAACCGGAATTAGATATGCAATATGTAAGCTGGTTTTGTATACTTACCACACTTAGAAATGTATTCTCGATAATGAGCGCATCAAATTGTTCTTCATTTCTAGATACCAGACTAATTGCGACTGATCCACCCAATGATTGTCCATATGCAATCAATTTTGTATGTTTTAATATTGGATGCTGTTTGATGTATTCCAGTACAGTCTAATACATACATGTATAAGCACATCACTTCCCCTCCCTTTACCTTTTTGTTCTTACCTGTGCATCAATCTTTAATCCCTTCTCGGTTGGTTTTCCTTCACTTAAACCATACCTAATGATTACATAATATTAAAAAGATTATATTACCGATAAAGTGACATTTACCCTCTATAAGATAGCATGACTACGTTGTATCCTAGCTTTTTATAAAATACTTGAGCAATTGGCAATCGATGACCCTATTATTTATCATTAATATATATATTTGAATGAATAAAAGTCATTCTTATGTACCATATTTCCAGTATGAGCCTATTATAAAAGTTGAGTAAATTGTCATAAATACAAAGATAAACTTACATGAAAACAGACAACAGTAGGTGACTGTAAAGCAACTTCTTCACCTCTCTGTATCATAACATACGCTCTAATTCTATAACCATCCTCTGTCATTAATATGACTTCTTTATCTGGTAAACCATATTGAGATGGTTTCGCCACCTAATAAACATATAAGTATATACATAATTATATAATTTTCCCCCCTTACAATTGTCCTTGAACCACTTGGAAAGCCTGAAGCATATAATAATTCACATTGATATGTATATAATAATAGGGATAATGCTACTGTTACTGCAACTGCAAAGTAGAATAGATAAAGTAAATAAATGAGCATTCGTTCCCCCTTTTACAAAGAAATAAGAAGAGAGAAAAAGAATAAGGATAAAAAAAAAAAAAAAAAAGTTAAAAAATAACCCCATCAATCACGTGTTATCCCCACTCAAACCTTGTAATTGTTCTCTTTTGGGTGAGAAAAATTATATTTTATTTTACACCCCACCTACTTTTTTTTTTTTTTCTTTTAAAAATGTCTAATAAACCATTAAATGATATCCTACATCGATCATCCACTATTCCTGTTCAGCCTTCTTTTCATTCATTAGATATTCAAATACCTGAACCGCCTCAGACAGAAGCAGGTCGATGGACATTTCACTCTCAAAAAGAATTTCCTCCTCCACCTAAATTCGAAAAAAGATTAAAAAGATACCCTTCTGGTGCTGAAACTGGATGCTGTAAGGTCATATTATGATGTTTGTATGTTTATTAAAATATTCATAGCTATACCAATCGATCTTTCTCATCTCATTAAATAATAATCATTAAAATAAAATTCAAATGGCGATTTTCTCTCTCTCTCTTTTTTTTCGTACACACATAAAATGGAACATGTGTTGAGTTGGGATGAAAATAAAGTCATCAAGTGGATAACTGCTATTGGTTATTCTTCATTTCAAAGACAATTCAAAGGTTAAAGAAAATACTAAAACTAAAACAAAACTGACTGATTCAAAAACAGAACAAGGAATAACAGGAGACGTACTTGTTCATCTTGATCATGAGTCATTAAGGGATTTATCAGTGTCAACAGTGGGCCAAAGAATGGACCTATTGAAAAATATCTATCAACTAAAGATACAATATAAAGTACCAATTAATGAATGGGACTATATTCCACCTAGTAAGGTTATTTTGTATTTATTAATATAAATGCTTATATAATTTTCATCTTATTAGGTGTACTTTATGAAACAGTAGGTTTCTCATCAAACAAAGGTTACTTATAATTAACACATCATATCAGGATTGGTTAGGTCAGAATGGAATGGCAGACTACAGAAAGATTGAATCAGCCTTTCAAGAAAGAGGTAACTATCTAATACATATTAATACTGCTATATCTCAAGTCTTTGGTAAATAGATGCTCGCATTAAAAAGTTAATAGAAGATATTGGAAGAATGTCAAATGATATCAATACATTAAAAGAAGAAATCAGTCAACTAAAACAATCCAAGAAGGATACCAATACAACAACAAGCAAGCTGACTTCTTCTTCTAAGGGGCATAAGACTAAAGATGAAGAGGTAGACTATCAGTGTGATTCGATATGGTCATTAACATATACAATAGAAGAAATTAATTAATGATGGTGGCGCTATTAAGGTCTATGGTGATAAGATGGAACAAGAAATAGAATCATCCAAGAATGTACGTCTGTTATTAGATGATCCTGCTTCAAAGGTGATCTGTTCTGCATTAAAGAAATACAATATTGCAAGTGATTGGCAACAGTACGCCCTTTGGATAAAATATGGACCTCCTGATAACATCCAAGGTATGGTTTTTTGGGAAATAGGGAGAGCCACAACTCATCCTTTCAGTAGAAAGAGCCCTCGCTTATGATGAGAAACCCTTAAGAATATCTCAAAAATTAAAAGACGCTAAACAAAATCCGATGTTTGTTTTGAAAAGTGTCAAAGACAATAAGCCATTTACCCCGCCTTCAAGCTATACAAATCCAAGAATAGCTCCTCCAGCACCTCAACAACAACAACAGCATCATCATCATCATCAACAAGATATAAAGTCAGGAAGAGTAGGTTATGAAGTTGTAGTACCTGTCATGTCATCTTCTATTTCTTCTCCTACCATTGCTACACAACATAGCAACAATAGTACATCAAGTCTATCAACCAAAAAGAATAAGCTAGTAACAACACCGACTATAGAATATCATAACGAATTAGGTCTAGACAACGCTATCGTCAACGCTATTTTTACAATCAATAATTCCTAGAATAAATTTATTTTTGCATAAGAAAACCACGCTGAGATTAGATAATTGATTTCCAGCCAAAAAAGTGTCTTGCCACTTTCCCTTTGACATTAACCTTATTTGCTAATTTCTTTTTCTTTTTTCTTTTCTTTTCTTTTTTCTCTCTTTTCTTTTCTTTATTCATTCAAATGTCTTTTAATCTAGATACAAGTACAGCTGCAGGTGCTGCTCGCTCAGCTGATCGTAGTAAACGTCGCTCTATGGCTGAACTTAAAAAAGTGCGACGTGTTCGCATTGGTGAGAAAGAAGCTGAAGAAGCCAAGCAGCTGTTAGGTAAATTACTTGCATCTACCGATGCGTCAGAGAGAAAGGAATTGGCTGAGAGATGCGCTGGTTTTGCAAATCATTATGGTGTCCGTGCGCTCAAGGGGGCTCATCTCTTTCCCGCTATCTCTACTGAACTGTTTGCCAAAAAGGTGCGTGCTCCTCAAGCTTTGGGCGCTATACAGTTGGCACAAGAGCTGACTACGACTTCTAATGCTCTCCTCTGTGGTCAACTTGAACCCCACTTGATTACCTTACTTCATCCGTTGTTAGACCTTCAAGCCGCAAAAGATAAGGCCATGGCTGAATCATCCGCTCAGCTGGCTCACACGATTGCAAAGTCATTTAATCCCATAGCAACCCGTGAGATTGTGACGTACTGCCTTGACGGTCTAGATAATTCCAAAAAATGGCAAACCAAGATGCTGGCACTTGAACTTATCGAAATCCTCGCTCAAATCAATCCGGTCCAAGTCTTGGCTTGTTTGCCAATCATTATCCCTGTTGTTTCTGATTGTATGTGGGATACAAAGCCTGAGGTCAAGAAAGCGGCTACCAAGTGTATGACAACCACAACCGCTCTTTTGGATAACAAGGATATTGAACGCTTTATTCCCGCTGTGATCGAGTGTATCAATCATCCTGAAAAAGTACCTGACACTATCCATCAATTGGGTGCCACAACCTTTGTTCAGGAAGTCGACGCGGGTACTCTCTCTCTGATGGTTCCTTTGCTAGCCCGTGGTTTGCGTGAACGGCAAACGCCTATCAAGCGAAAGTCTGCCTTGATTATTGACAACATGTGTAAACTCGTGGACGATCCTGAAGTAGCTGCTCCCTTCCTGCCTGTGCTTTTGCCTGCTCTCGAACATGTGCATGACGTCGTAGCAGATCCTGAGTGTCGTGGTGTTGTTCAGAAGGCTGTCGAGACCCTGAAACGAGTTGGAGGTGGTAGTCCAGAGTCTGTTATGACCAACGATCAAAAACGTGAAAAGGTAGAGACGACTCTCGACCGGTTGATGCCCACTAAGCTCGAAGGCTTCTTTTCTCCCGTTCGCAAGTATATCATCAGACTTGCTCTTGCGCTCGTCTTGGCTAAAAATTTTGACCGTAACGCCTGGATCTCGTCTGTCTCGCCTCATGCTGCTACTTGGTTGCTTGCTACAGGTCGTGAACACGAAGATGAGGAAACAGAAGCCTCGGCTGAAAAACTGGCCTTGGCCGCTTTGTCCTCTTGCGAAGAAGCGATTGCGCACAAGGATGTGGATCAAGACGAGGAAGATGAAGGTGAAGAGCTCTGCAACTGTGAATTCTCGCTTGCTTATGGTGCCAAGATCTTGCTCAACCGTACTCACCTGCGTCTCATGCGAGGCCGTCGCTATGGTCTCTGTGGCGCTAATGGCTGTGGCAAGTCTACGTTGATGCGTGCAATTGCAAATGAACAAGTCGAAGGATTCCCTCCTCGTTCAGTTCTCAAGACGGTTTATGTAGAACACGATATTGATGGTTCTCAAGCAGATACAGGTCTTGTCGAATTCATCATTTCTTCTGAAGGTGTCGAGTGTCAAGATAAGGCTGAAGTCGCGCGTATTCTCAAGAATTATGGTTTTACAGAAGAAATGGTCCATCATCAAGCCATCGGCTCTCTCTCTGGTGGTTGGAAGATGAAGCTCGCTCTGGCTCGTGCCATGTTAATGAATGCTGATATCCTTTTGCTGGATGAACCTACAAATCACTTGGACGTGGTAAATGTTGCATGGCTTGAAAACTACCTTCTTGGATTGAAGACGGTAACCTCCATCATTGTCTCTCATGACTCTGGTTTCTTGGACCATGTCTGTACCGATATTATTCATTATGAAGGTAATTACAAATTGAAGCGGTATAAAGGTAATCTCTCCGAGTTTGTCAAACGTGTGCCTCGTGCTGCCGCCTACTACTCTTTGGATGCTGCCAAGACTGTTTTCCGCTTCCCTGAACCTGGTTATCTGGAAGGCATCAAGACCAAGGAACGTGCAATCTTAAAGATGAAGAATGTCGACTTTCAGTATCCTGGCTCATCCAAGAAGCAGTTGGTTGATATCTCCATGCAGTGTTCTCTTGCCTCGCGTGTAGCCGTGATTGGTCCTAATGGTGCTGGAAAGTCTACCTTGATCAAGCTATTGACAGGTGAGCTCGAGGCCCAAACGGGTACGGTATGGAAGCATCCCAATTTACGTATTGCCTACGTTGCTCAACATGCCTTCCATCACATCGAACAACACTTGGATAAGACGCCAAACGAATACATTCAGTGGCGTTATGCTACTGGCGAAGACCGTGAAGAGCTCGACAAGAATGAACGTATGAACTTGGAAGAGACCAAAAAGGCTTTAGAACAGGTGTTTGTCATTGATGGTGAGAAACGTGTGGTTGAAGATATTGTGGGTCGTCGTAAGCTCAAGCAGTCCTACGAATACGAAGTCTCCTGGGTCGGTCGATCTTCTGTCGATAACACCTGGATTTCTCGTTCTAGACTTGAAGAAATGGGCTTTGGTAAGAAGATTGCTGAAGTCGATGCTGCTGAAGCTGCCAAGATGGGCATTGCACGTCCCTTGACAGCCAAGGAAATTGAAAAGCACCTTACTGAAGTTGGATTAGAACCTGAATTCGCTTCTCACTCTCACATCCGTGGCCTCTCTGGTGGTCAAAAGGTCAAACTTGTTATTGGTGCTGCCATGTGGAATAGACCTCACATGCTGGTTCTTGATGAGCCTACTAACTACTTGGATCGTGAATCTCTTGGTGCACTTGCTACTGCTATTCGTGAATATGGTGGTGGTGTTGTCATTGTCACTCACAACCGTGAATTTTCCGAAGCATTATGCAATGAAGTATGGAAAGTGGAAAATGGGTACTTGACTCCTTCTGGCCATAACTGGGTCTCTGGTAATGGTACGACTGTCGTCAAGGAAGAAGAAGAGGAAGATATGGTGGATGCTCAAGGAAATACGATCAAGGCAGTTCAAAAGAAGAAGAAGTTGACCTCCAAGGAACTTCGAAAAAAGAAGAAGGAGCGTATGGAACGCCGTAAGCGTGGTGAAGAAGTCTTTTCATCAGATGAAGATATATAAATTCAAGATGGCTTTTTTTTTTGTAATAAACTGTTTGCTTGATCTTCATTTATTTTTATTTTTACTGGTAGTTTTATTTAACTAAAGACGATAGAATGACCCCATCTAAATAGACAAGATCTCATCGAAAAGAAAGCAAGGGACATTTAGTTGTACAAGACATCATCCTGCAAACGTGGCACATTTGTAGCCAAATATTTTTTTTTGGATATCTTTTTATTTAGAGACCCGAGATTTATTTTTCTTTCTCTTTTTCTTGTATTTATAAAATGTATAACGACTGGATCGATTTTTCACAACCTTCACTGTATTTTGCACTTGCACACATATTATTCAACCCTATCTTTTGGAATACGGTTGCAAGAGCTGGTAATTTATGAATTTATAAATAAAGGGAGTATGGACTAATCATGATCAATAGAATACAATAGTAAAATATTAACAAAGTTAGCGGGGGGTAACGCATACAGAGGCTGTTATGGATTAGCAGTAACCATCTTTACATTGGGTATTACCCGTGATTATCTGTATGTTGCTCTTGAATTAATGTTATTTTTTGTTTACTGATAATAATCTTTCTTAGATATCACCAAGCACTCTCCTTTCAACCTACTCATTCATTCTTTGACAATCAAATTGTACAACTGAGTGCTATTTTATTATTCTTAACTGGAAACACACTTGTACTTTCATCTATGTGGGCATTGGGTGTCACTGGTACTTATTTAGGTAATGTGTGTGTGTATATTGTGAGCATATATCCTCATTTCATGTTAGGTGATTATTTTGGTATCTTGATGAAGGAACGTGTCACTGGCTTCCCTTTCAACATTTGTGATAACCCCATGTACATTGGCTCAACCTGCACTTTCTTGGCTACTGCTTTATGGTACAAGAGTCCTGCTGGCATCCTTTTGACAGCCATTGTTTATATTGTGTATAAAATTGCCTTGACATTTGAAGAGTAAGTTTTTTTTACATGTTGTTTATAAAATGTACTCACCATTAATTTTTAGGCCTTTTACAGCTATGATATACGCTAATAAGGACAGCAAGAAGAACTAATTGTGTATTATATCTAAATAAAAACAAATGAATCTCTTGTATGTATTTCATGGCACACATTTATACTTGACGTCTCTGAATATATTCCCATTATACTTCACCAAAGGACTGTGATTTTCGTTTTTTGTAAGGACCAAAGATGAATATATTGGACAACATGGCTCTATCCTTTGGATCAAAAGCTTGCCTAATACAACAAAGCCAAAGAAGAACATTAGAGAATGAAAGCGTGGCTAAAACTTAGAATTTAAATATAAAAGTGATTGTGGTATTTTTAAACATTATATTTTATTAAATTGACATTATTAGCAAACAGAAAATATCATTAAACATTTATTGGTTTTCTGGAATACACTTTACACCAAAGCCAGTAAAGTTTTCAAAGCCTTTTCGCACAGGCAAACAATCTTCTTGACCATCACTTGACTTGACTACATGAATATGAGAATTGGTATTACTGAGTTCCTTAAGAGCATCCTCGGCAGCTTTGTCCCTATAAACTGTAGAGTGTACATCACTATGGGGGTTAGGATTATTGATGTCGGTTTTGGAGCCGGTATTGTAAGACGAAGAGTTGTCCTTGTTGACGTCAGTATCTGCCGTCTTGCTGCTTGAAACATTATTCTGGTTATCATAACTAGTATTTGGTGGCAAGGATGGTTTTGTGTCATCAACAGGAGTCTCTTGACGATTAGCTGGATTATCCGAAGCTTTGGCTGAACTAAGAACACCTGCAGCGACATTGCTCATCATATCTTGTGAGTTGGCACCCTTTAAAAAAAATGCGTTAGGAAATATATATATTAATTATCAGTTAGCAAACACTTACAGGTAACGTGCTTGCCCGTCGAGAATGCTCAAGGCCAGTAAGAGGCATATCCACTTGCGGGGGATGTGAAGATTCAGGAACATTTGTTGCACTACCAATGGATTTTCCTACGTTATCAGTGTCCAGGCGTGGGGTTGTAGAGAAGGACTCTATTGATTGTGATAAAGACTTTTGCAAATCATCCATAGTTGATTGCAGCGAATTTGGAGCCAAGTCTTCCTTATGCTGAATAACACTAGTTTCTGGAGATGTAAAAAGACCAGGTGTTTGCGGCTTACCAGGAGCATGTGTTGCTTTTGGCAGTTCATTTGCACTCACATCTCGAGCAAGAGAGGCAGCGACAGGTGCAATATGGCCCGAGGATACGGGAGCGGTTTCGCGAGGGAATTCTTCTTGTTCAAGATCAACCTCATTTTCCTTTGGCTTTGGAGTAACAATTGGACCAATATCAGCATTCGCATTGCTTTCAAGAATCTTTTCCAATGGCTGTGAAAGTTCAGAAGTAAGAGGTTCTACAGCATGTGAGCCACTACCAGTTTTGACAGAATCATCAGGATTTGCATTGTTTGTACTTTGCTCTTGAGCATTGGCTTCAGAGCTGTTGTGGTTTGTATTGGTAGCTCCACTTGCTAGACCACCAAGACTGCCAGTTACTTTTTTCAAATTGGACTGAAGCCAGCCTTCTCCTTCATTTGACGAATCATGGGATTGGGATGTATCTGTATTCTGAATATCACGATCTTTTTCATCTGTAGATCCAGTATTTTTATATCCGGTGAGAGAACCAATGCTTTCCATGACATTTTCTTTTATATGTCCAAGATCAGGTAACATTGATGTTGCACTACTTTGCTGTTGATCTTCAGCAGTATCTCCGTTATTGCTTTTTCCAGAGGTATTTGTAAGAGAATTGAGTGTTCCCAGTGCATTTGACTTTAATGAGCTAAGCGTAGAGGTAACTTTATTCACTGGTGAGATGTTCTTGGAGTCGCTTGAGTTCTGATTCTGATCGTCGTCATTTACTGAGGGCTCTTCATTGTTGATATTATCCAAGTCACCAGGATGTGATGTAGTAGAACCAGGTGTATTTACTAAGGCGCTTTTTATCTCATGCATAGGCGAAGAGGAACTATGAGACATCTTTTTTTGGGCAGCTTCCATCAAGTCATTAGAGGGTTCTATAGCTACTTGATCATTAACCACAGGAGGCAGGGAGTGAGCGGTATCATCAACAATTACTTTTTCCACTCTATTATTAGAAGCCATAGGAATTTCGTTAGTGTCTTGTCGAGTAACGCCATGCTGGATATCATTGTCAACTTTCTTTTCGATATTGGAAAGCGCCTCTGAGGATATAACGTCATCGTTATGCTCTCCATTATAAGCTCCTTGTACATTAACGCTTTCAGTCACAGGATTCACAGGCAACGGATGAAAGTCGGTATGGTGTTCATCTTCATGCAACACTTCTGCCTTTCGTTTTTCAGCATCATCATAGTCATCATGGTTATCATCACCCTTTAGAGCATCGGAATTACTGCCATAAGAAAGCCCAGCACCAGTAAAGATGCCGTCTCCGTTTCTTGTTCTTTCTTTTCCTGAGCGATAGGCTTGAGAATGAATATCCATACTATGATGTTTTGTACCAAAGGCCGGTTCTCTGTCGCTATTATCGGCCACATTAGGGTATGAGGCATTACCAAATGAAGCCTTCTTTCCAGTTAATGCATCAATTGAGTTATTTTCATATGGCCTGTTTAGGTTCTTCTGTTCATTTATGTTGGTTGGTTTTACAGCATGCGTAGGAACTGCAGTAGCTACATCATTAGACAAGACATTGTTTCCTGGATCAAAAGAATCACTACCAAATACAAAAGATCCGGGCATAATATCAGTGCTTGATTTGGAGGCATCATCCATCGTTCCTACAACGTATAAGATATATGTACAGATACATACAACTAATACTTACTAGGTACTTCTTGTCCACGTAATGTACTTGGTTGTTCTGCTGAATGATAATCTGTCATTTCTTATTGATATACCAAATATTTTTCGCTGATAATTATAAAGAATTAAGAAAAAAAAAAACTCTCAAACTCAAGTTGGAGTTCTTTTATGTCTATCATGTTTTCACAATGACGCAACTTTTTGAAATCGGAAAAGTTGAGATTATTAAAGTGACATCCATCTTGTATATGATAAACAATGTAATCTGCAAAAATGATGTCTTTACTGTTTGATTTAATAATAAATGACAAAGTGCACTTGGTATTTCTCTTTTACACACTATGACGCATGACGTTAGTAACTTGATTGAAATACTAATACTAATCTTACAAGATTCCAGTGGTTTATGAATACATTTACATTGATCATAATTCTCCCCCTTTTTGTAGAGGTTGGCATGAATATAAAGCTGATATGCATGTTCAATTTGGCATGTCATAGGAGTGACATATTTTGTGAAACACTCTGCTTATTTTTATCTAAAAAAGGAAAGGACTACCACTGCATAATTTAGGAACGTTGAGTTAAGCTGCATGAACAAGCAGGCACGATAAGTAGAATAGAGTCCACACCAAAAACACATTTTATATCAGAATAACAGTAAATCTAAAACAAGTATCGCCTCCACATTATAACTCACTGTACTATTTTCTTATTGGCACAAAAAACCCTGAATTTCCTGGTAATAAGTCCAATAAGCCTAACTTCCAATCATCCTCCAGAACTTGGTCCGTCTATAGTATCCACGTTATTATTCAGTGCTTAAGTATAATCTCTAGAGTTGAATCTATTGTTAATATATATATATATAGTAAACTATCATCTCTTTATTCTCTTTACTTTATTTCGAATAAAGATACATACAGTCTCATTCTACTTTTACCTTATCTGATTTTTGGTTCAATTATGATTTATTGCAATCACCCATTATGAAGACGTACTAGAGATCGACTTCAAAGGCTTACAGCTCTTGTGAACTTGAGATTTCTTAAGTCGTTTATATACACACACGCATTGGAAAGAATATATGTCATTATAAGAACAAGCGATAAATAAAAGATAGAGTCATAATTTTTCTCTTTAATAAGGCATTTTATTATGATTTAAAACACATTTAGAGTTGGTGCACCATTCCTGTTTCTGAGAAAAAAAATATTACCAGTTAGCCATGATAGTGGATCATTGACTTTATTTTTTACCATCAAGTCCATTATAGTAAAACCAGTTTTGAATAGGAAGCTCCATAGCAGAGAGTGTTCGCAGTACATCTTGAGCTAGTATACCACCAACAATGGCTGCAACAGGTGATATCTCTGTGTTATGCATTTGGCATACATTTCTATAAAATAATAGCTAAGAAAGTGAAAGTCATCGATTTCTTTTTGCATCTAACCTTAGTAAGTTTTCATCCAATACGTTCGAGTCAGCAATTCCCATCTGTTGGAGATACTCTCTCTTATTTTCAATTAATTCAGCAACTTCTGCTTGTGAAGGAAAATGGTGATGTTCTTTTTGATATCTTAACAAGACTAATATGTGTTGCATATTAAATTAACCTATCTGACATATATTTCAAAAGCACATACTATGCATAACAAGAGCCATAGGTGAGATTCTCTTCCTCAATGCTTTAGGCGATATGCTTGACCAGTCTTTTGATAAAGATACATCCAAGCTTGCAAAATGTTCAGTATGTGTAATTTTTCCTGATGAATTCTTTGCGTTTCTAATATTGTATGTTTGAGTGTATAGGTTTAACTTGTTATAGTATTCTACTTACTGAATAAAAGTGTATTCAGTTAAATCGCAAAATATATAGCCAAACCATCCAAAGGCATCTGCTGCATAAAACGGTCTTTTAACATTTCTTCGCAATTGATCAATGCGAGCCTTCATATATGCACATTAGTCTTCTTCTTTTGACGAATCATGCGTTTATCCTACCATTGTTTGATAGTTTGAACGGAATAAACAAACGATATCAAATGGTTCAAAGAAATCATCAGGCTTTTGCGTGACATTTTGCTTGTCAACAACAACGCGTACTCTAGGATTAAGCGCTTGAAGAGAGGAGACTGATGCTTCAGCTCTCTAGAAGTAATCAACTAGTCGTAAGTTATTTTGCTCAAGATAGGAAATGGATGCTTACATTCTTGCCTATATCATCCTCATCTAAAAAGAACTGTGCACCTAAATCCTCTTCTTTTACTTCTTCGTGATCGAGCAGTGTGATACTGGCGGCACCAGCTAAAGCCAAGTTTTTGCAAACTTCATTACTTAATGCACAGATTCCAATGATGAGAATGCTAGCTTTTCCGATCCTTGAAGAAAATTGTTGTCAAAAGAAAAAACAATCGTAGTCTTTGCCTTAAATTTACCGTTGTTGAGCATCGAGACCCCACAATCTGATCTGTCTGTCATAAATTGCAGCTTCATCTTTTTGAAAATGACACCTGTTAACATTCTTTTTGATAATTCAGAAAACACGCGCGCAAACCTGTTGAAATTACAGACATTTGAAAAAAGCAATAGATGCTTTACTTTTTTAAAAATCAGTTTAATAAACGTCACTCAGACAAAGTAAGCAGATGTTAATAAACTTTAGATAACTGTAGGCCTCGACATTTAGCTCTTAATTGTTATTGTCATGACTTAATACGGCTGCAATCTATATCGAAAGCTCACAAGGCTTGGAGATTTGTTTTCTGTATTGACAGAAATTGATTTTTGACAGAGTAACAAGGGAGTTTTAAACAACTGATGTTGGCTTAAAAACTTTTTTTTTCTCTCTCTTCCAATAAGGTAACAAAAATGGCTACTGTAAAGGCACCTCCTATGGCATTTAAGAAGTACAAGTTCGTTATTGACTGTTCTGGTCCTGCTAATGACAAGATCTTTGATGCTGCTGCTTTCGAAAAGTACCTCCATGACCGCATCAAGGTTGACGGCCGTACCAACAACCTCGGTGATGCCATTGCCATCTCTCGCTCTGCTGACAACAAGATCACTGTTGTTGCCAACATTCCCTTCTCCAAGCGTTACCTCAAGTACCTTACCAAGAAGTTCTTGAAGAAGAACCAAATCCGCGACTGGCTTCGTGTCATTGCCACTGACAAGCAAACCTTCCAACTTCGCTACTTCAACATTGCTAACGACGCAGAATCTGAAGACGAAGAATAAATGCTATCTTTTTAAATCAATAAAACTTGCTTTATAATATGCATTTGTTAAAATATAATACCTGAAAAGTCGAGATCTATTTTTGATGACCCGCGCAACGATGCATAAATGGTAAACACATTTTTTACTCGTAAGCCAAGGATGCTTGATGGTGATAATCCTTGAATATAGCAAACAGGTTAAGATTTATCATTAATGCATTTTAATAAACAGCATGGTATGACATTCTAAGTTAATGAACGAATATTCAAACGTAAGACTCTGTAAAAAATTGTGTTGTCTGCTTAAAACTCGACTATAAATCTCAATAGTGTGTGCGCATAAAATAGTATTAAAAAGTAGAGCGTAGAAATGGTTTGATCAAAGAAATAAGCATTTTGATGTATTTTTTTAGGTGACAGCGAGTAGAATTCAATATGTAAAGAAAACTGATGGCAAGAAATGATTAGTAGATGATAACCTTATTATTAAGTAAAGCCTTTCTCCAAGAATAACCGAGTAGTACGATAAAAATATGAGTCATATGCTATGAAGCATGCCCCGATTTATGATCGAAAGCTACTTACTGTGGCATAATTGTTATGTCCCAGATGATTGTAATATTAAAAGATATCGAGAAGAGAGGAACAAAAGATAAAAGCGGAAAAGATGGTATTGGTCGCCCTAATCAATAGATTAAAAAAGAGTATAACGTAATAATCTTGAAATGATTTGCGTGCATTTGATCACTCTTTCCCATAAAATGGGAAGGAAGCTACTATTGACTGCAGTGTTCCTAATATGGAATTTTTCATTTCTTTTGTGTGAATAAATAATGTCCGAAAATTCGGCAATAGTTTTTATTACTTCAAAATGATACAAAAGAGAATACATAAAAGCAATGTTCAAGGTTTGATCCAAGGATGCAGATCACATAATACCTCTTCAAGTTAATTCTTGGTCAATGCTTCTAGACACTTATAATTATGTGTCACTTGATTTGTTCCGCAGCAGTTTCTATTTATGTTAATGACATTAATGTGATCTGTAAGCATGGCCGCGGATCAGCAAAGAGTCACCAAAACCTTATTCAACTTGCCATTATGAGTAACACAGAGGGCTGTTTTCTTGGAAATAACTGCAAGGTCTATTTAAAGTACGCGTCAATAATAGTTCCACGGAGCTAATGGGCAGTTGTCAAAATTTAGTTGGCGAGCTATGCAATAGTCAAATGCATTATTAATCAATAGCATTTATGCATCTCTAGCAGTTCTTAACTGTCAAAGGTTCTCCTTGAGTATAAAGATGGACAAAAGCAGTTGAAGCATGACCAGAACAAACAAAACAATATCGTGATTGAAGCCTAAATAAGCAAAAAATTGTTATTCACAAACAGTCATCTTGTACCAAGAATAATCTTCTGGTAGTACTTATGACGCAAATTCGTTATCACTAGCCATTCAGTGTGCAATTATGGCTACACAAGCCTTTCGGTTGGCTAATATCTACCCATGGATGTGAGATTGTCATGGTAACAAGGTTGCACAACTGATTTTGTAACAACTTTGATTCATACCGGCCCATAATATTTTGATCTGACGCATACTGAGACCTTTGATTATTCATCAAAGTGACGGGCAAGTTTATATGGCATGTATATAAAGCTACTTCTCCTTTTCTCTCTATCTCTCTCACTCTCTCTTCGTTTTTATCCTATACTTTATTGTATTATTTATATCCTCCTTCTTTATAATGCTTAATTCTGAATCTACAGCTATATATAAGAAAGACGTCCTTCGTGTTATACTTGATGAGCCCAGACTATTTCTTGAAGAGTCCTTAGGCTCTACCTTAATTCGTGGTGAAGTGATTGTCAATTTTCCAAAAGATACCCCTATACAAGGTCCAATTGAGCTTGTATTTGAAGGAACACAGCGTTTTCATACTTGGCCAGGTACATTTATAAATATATAAACCATTTCCCTTTATACTAAGTGTTCCTTTATTATAGAAATCATGCGAGGTAGATCACTGGGTAACCCTATTGAAACTAAACTCCAAGTTATCGAACTCTCTTTACTACCGCCAAACTCCAAAGGAATTATGCCTGCAGGAATACAACGATTTCCTTTCGAATTCCCAATCCCGGCTTCTTTACCAGCAAGTACGTTTATCCGAGATCGAATCGAAATCTTTTATCAAGTCATTGCCACAATCCGTCGTTCAGCGCGTCTAGATCACTCGGGTCATACAAATCCTTTGAATTGGATAGAAAAAGTTCGCAATACTGGTCTCAAAAAGAAATATACACACAGCGCATCGCTAAGAATTGTTCGACCTATACAATCGTTTATAAACGAAGGCGCATCCGAACAAGATACGACAGCAGTTCCCTCGCCTTTACCAACACCCTCGAATGAACCTGGATCTCAGGATGACTCACAGCAAACACCCAGCTCTGATACATCTTCTTCAAACGACAATAGAGCATCTACAGGGAGTCAAATGAGCTTAGCATGGAATCGTCGAGACTTGAGCGAATACCAAGGCTTTGATGAACAATACAATCAATTTACATTCTCTTTGGCCGGAAGAACTATCAGCAATTTCAATCAACCTGCAGAAAAATTACGAAGCGTTCATGGCATTAGATATAAGATGAGTGTGGATCGTACAGCCCTTGTTTTAGGCACAAGTATCGGCGTTGAGCTTATGATTGAACCCACAGTTCGCAAAGTGAAATTAAAGTCTATTCTATTAAAAATTTCTGAAAACAGGCTATATACAATGAAGATTCCTGCAGATCATTCATGGGATTCCCGGTTACCTGAAACAAGAAAATATAACGAAGGCGTCAAGATGATTTTGAAGTGGGCTTACAATTTTGAGGCTGAAGATGAAGAACTGGGAATGAAAAACGTGGCAAATGTAGATACCTGTGTCGGCTGCAAGTTTGTGCATCAACGTTCTGAAGACAGTACAAAAGTAGCTTATTTTGATCCACCTTCGCCTGGAGATCCCTCTACAAAGCTATTCCTAACAAATGGAGCAAGCAGTAAGAGCTCAAGTACAAAGCCATGTCGCATAAAAGAAGTCGAAAACTACAACACCAATTCCTCTGGCCAGAAAAAGCTGGTGAACTTGAAGGAAATTGATCAACCTATCAAACCTGGTGAATACTTTGGTGGTCGTTTTGTTATGCCTATGCCGGATTGTGACAGCATACTGCACCCTAGCATGACATATGACTCTGTAAAGATCAGTCACTGGCTACAGTTATCAGTCACTCTTGAATGTGATAACGAAACCTTCAATATCGATCTAGACTCTCCTATGCAAATGTTGGACTGCCGATTGGTTGCTGCTGATGATGAAAATCAAACGATTTTGCCTCCTCCTCCTACTTATCAAGAACAAGAAGCAAACTCCTTACAACAGAATTTTTATACTGCAAGCACATTTTGGGAACAACGTGAGCCTATCACAAGTGTCTCTGGCTGGGGCGACTGCCAACCTTGTCCTTGCGAAATTCGAAAAATGCAAAAGGGAAAGAACAAGCAAGACAAGTCAAAGAGAACTTCAGGGAGCATGTCTCTCATGTCATCATCAAGTCAGGCTAAACCCCCAAAGGACGATAATGACGCCGACTCTTATTCTTCTCGATTTTTGCCTGAATGGGGCCCTCCTCCTTGTTATTCTGATTAGGGATTTAAACTTACATCTCACTCCTTTCTTTTTTATTCTCTACTATGTGTATGTATATTCTACAAACTTATTTATTTTCCCTTTTTATCTCCTTTATCAACATTTTTATGTAAATAGAATACGTTTAATATTTAATGATGTCAATAATAAAGTATACCATTCAGTCCTTGATAACCAAATCTTTTTTCTTCTCCTTTTTTTCATCAAGCTATTCCTTGCTTACCTCCTTAAAGAATAACCTCTCTCCTGTTTCTAATAAGCAATAAAAGAAACTCTTTACAATGGTAAACTTTACTCTCTCTCTCTCTTTTTCTAGATTATAAACTTAGGCAATATGACAAACAAATTCTCTTTGACGATCGTATTCTTCATTTTAATTGTATCAACAGCGTCATGCTTCCAAACGAACAAGGATATTATCGAGAAACAAAGGTTAGAAAAGAGAGATTGTGATTTCTCTTGCATAAATCAGGGTCATTGCGATGAAACTTGCAACAACGCTGCGAATGAAATGTTGTTAGCCGTCTGTCACGGAGGAAAATGTTATTGTGGCTATGTACCAAGCTAATTCATCGTTTTGTTTTACAATAAATCAATCTGTACCTTTTCCTCATTCATCTAGTCGATATCAATAAACCTCTTTTCTTATGCCTTTCTATCAGCTCAAGCAATGATTTTTCTTCTCCTTATAAACACATCCTCCCTCTAGTGAACTATGGCTTTGATATGTTTCCCAACACCTTGATTTTTCTAAACTCTGGATTTAACTGGCGTGTATGGATTAACAAAACAGGAAAGGCGCGGTGAAATTTGACAGTCGCTTTGACTGAAATTTATTTTATAAAGGATGATGATTTTTAAAAATCTTTTCAAGCATAAACTTACATTACTCAATTCTATGCCCAAGGTATTGATCATATAGTGTCTTGCTTGAGCGTCGCAATAACAGCTTCAAATCATAGATCATCGGAACACACAGCGGTCACTTTCATTGGTATGTTTATATTTCATTTACATAGATCACGTCTAATGATCACTAGTGATGAAGCCTTAGCAGTTGCCCTTTTAAAGAGAACTGAAGAGTTTAAAGATGCCACATTAGTTCGTACACGTGACCCTAAAAAGCTCGAAGAGTGCGATGTTGTCATTGATGTTGGAGGTGTGTATGATCCTTCTGCCCATCGATATGATCATCACCAGGTAATCAGTAGAATCAAAAAAATGGATTCAATCAACTAACGAGAATAATAATAATAGCGCGGATTCACAGAGACTTTCGATGATAAGCATGCCACTAAGCTTAGTTCTGCTGGTTTAGTATACAAGTAGGTCAACAGTAGTGCATAAGTGAAGCTGTTAATTTACCCTTCTTTTTATTATAGACACTTTGGAAGAGAAGTTGTCGGCTCAGTCCTTGGAAGTGATGTTTCTGCTGAAGATGCTGAAAAAATTTATCTCAAGACCTATGATGTAAATATAAAAAGGATAATATCAGTGCTTGAAATTAACAATTTATTAGTGTTTTGTAGAAGCTCTTGATGCTAATGATAACGGCGTTAGTGCATACCCTAGTAGCATTACGCCTCTATTCAAAGAAAGTCCTACAAGTCTTCCAAGCAGAGTTGCTAGTCTGAATCCTGCCTGGAACCAAACTGCCACTGATGCTGACATTGATGCTTGCTTCCTCAAAGCCTCTGAAATGGCAGGCACAGAATTGATAGATTACGTTACAAGACTCAAATCAATTTGGTTACCCGCTCGTACTCTTGTAGTAGAAGCACTTGATAGAGCAGATGAAGTCCACTCATCTGGCCGTGTGATTGCTTTGGAACGTGCATGTCCATGGAAAGAGCACTTGTTTGATCTCGAAAGTGAACGTGGTTTGACAAATGGAAAGGAAATTCTGTATGTACTTTATCCTGAAAGTAATCCTGAAGGAAATTGGAGAATACAATGTGTTCCTACTCGTCTTGAGGGCTTTGAAAATAGAAAAAGCTTACCTGAAGCCTGGAGAGGTGTTCGTGACGAAGAGCTTAGTCGTCTTTCAGGTGTTGATAACTGTATTTTTGTGCATGCTGCAGGCTTTATTGGCGGCAACAAGACACGTGAAGGCGCTTACAAAATGGCAAAGTTAGCCTTAGAATTGTAAATGATCCAATAAAACTAATCATATAAAGCGTGATCTTGAATGGTAGAAAACACTGTACTTTTTTATTTTGAAAAAACCAAGTTTAAGAAAGGTAGCGGATCAATATGCTTCAATTTACAAGCGTGTTGATATCCCTTTTTGATTTCATTAATTCTGTAAGTCTTTTTTGTTCTTTTCGCTTTCAGCAACATCTTCATATCAATCTCTTTGTTTCCAAGTGGTTCAATATCTAGTTTATTAATCCAACCCCTATAAAATATGGTAAGTAATTTGTAAAGTTTACAAGACATAAACGTACCATGTATGTAAGTCGCTCACAGCAAAGAACTTGACTAGTACTTTATTTTTATAAGCAGGCCTTGACTTTAGAATTAGCACATTATCTGGTATATCTTGATGTTTTCGTTCGTCAATTATCTAGAAAAAAAAATTAACAAACACCATAAAATGAATACCACTTACACATACTTGTGCAGGATGAGCAGGAAAGCCAGGTACTCGTGCCCAAACTATTTCTTTATCTTTATATTGTAGTTTTAGTTGTATAGAGGCCAATGGCTTTACATGTTTTAAGCTTGTCTTTTTATCTTTTGATCTACCAATGCTTTTCTTTTGATGATCTATTTTTAAAAGTTCAGGTCCAGCTTTCTTCTTTAAAATGCTTGAGTCGGTTGATTTTCTTTCAATAGTATTCTTTGATATAGAAAACGACCTTAACGAACGTTTTTTCTCATTTGCTCTGCTTCTGGTAAGACGAGGTGCAACAGAGGGTTGTATTCCAGGCGCTACTTTCCGTTTCTTAACAGGGGCGTCATCACAACTAGCTGGTCGACGCTTTCTATTTAGTTTTTGCGGTTCTAGCATTGCCTCATTAGAGCCATGCCTTTGATATATAGTATTCTCATTCTCGTCAGTGGTATTATGTTTCTCAGTCAAGTCATGGTCTTGTTTTTCCTTTGTATCATTTTCCTCATTTGTCAATGAAGTCGATTCGATACCATGATTTTCTTTTTCAATTCGGCTGGGCTCTCTTCCAAATGCGAATATATCTGGATCAATTGGCGTGTCTAAAAAGCCAGTTTGGCGGTCAATTTCCAGAGCATCATAGGCTTCCTTGGCTTTTGCTATTAAGGAATCTGAAGCTTTCTGCAGACGCTGAGCGAGTTTATAATAAGAGGTATCTGGTCTATTGTACGTCATGCAGTTTTTCCAAATTAAAGATATATCACGCTAGGATAGTCATTATGCCAGTTTGTATACATTGTTAAAATAGACTTACTTCAAATGTATCAAAATCTGTATAAAAGTGACATGTTAATCTTTTCAAGACCTCTGAAAATGACATTGGTTCCTGAATAATGTCATTGTAGCCTGGTGCTACATCTTCAGTGACAGGATACTTGAATATATCTTTCTTATCTAATCTAAGTGTAAATTTAGCTATCAATAGACCATAACTTGCAAATAATGCTTACTCCATTAAGCGATAAACTAGAGGTTTGAGTATATATTCGACTGGATATAATATTAGTTCCAAATATGCCTTCTGCTTGTACATCCTTTCTAGCTTTTGCTTTTCTCTTTTTTGAACCTGTTCTGTCAATATCCTAACCTTCTCCAAATCCTCCCTAAGTTTTACTATAGACTATTATAACTTATTAGTCCATCCATTCTGAGACGATCTAAATGTTAATAATGCTTACAGAAGCTTTTTGAACAGATTTTAATGCAGGTTCCTTTGTCTGATGATTTAAAGCAGCTCGAGGCTAAAGAAACAATGTTATTACTGCTTAAAAAACAAAGAGAATACTTACTTCAAGATGTAATCGTTTAAGCAAAGGAGTTCCTCTTTTTGATTCTCGCTTTAGAGACCAATAGCAGCAAATTGTTTTTATCATCAAAGACTTTCTACGTAATCCCTTTGATTCTCGAATACATTTTAAGCTTTCCAGTTTACGAATTAAACATTCTGGTGCAACTGGGCCATGTGAGTCGAACCGTTGATAGTGAGCGCATGCAGTCTTGGAAACTGTAAAGAACTGCGCTAAAGAGTATTGCGGTCCATCTACATGTTTTTTCTTTTTGCCATCTTCATCTTCAAAAGGTCTGTTACAATCACAAGGCTCTGATTCTTCATCGATATATCTTGCATGCGGCATATGCTGTGTTCTTCTATGTTTCTTTTTTGAAAACCATTGTTGTGCTGCTACAATACTTTTGTCAACATCTATTCGTTCTTTGTACTCTTTTGGAGTGTGTCTATCACAGTATGCCTTTAAGACAGCATCTTCCTGATGACAGTTGTGTATTTTTGTTTTCATATACAATCTAGCCCAACGAGCACATGTTACATGAAAAGCTGTAAAGCAGTGCTTGTTGTCACACTGAATACAGGCACCTTGACGTTGGCGACAGATATAGCAAGTCAACTTCCATCTACTCTTGGGAATATTACCAATTCCATCTATAGGCTCCATATAGACACTATTTCCCAGACAGACCTCGGGTATCCACATGGCGCATAATAAGTGACCCCACTGGTTTGTCGTAGTCTGCTTGAATGCTCCTCCCTCAATAGGACAGAACAAACAGGACACTGGCTTCTCTGGTGAAACCATGCATTTTCTACAGAGCCACTGCCCATTAGGAACGTACGGGATACCATAGCAATCTTGATGAACTGCCAAATTGCACCCTTCACAAGACACAATGACATTATTGCTTTCATATTGCTCATTGCTACAAATGGCACATCTTGGGTCATGGTCGGCTTGGCTGCGGTTATTTTTAGATAAGTCTTTTACCTATATAAAGCTCTTTTGTTAATAACAATAAAAAAAAATGGGCATTTACATACAAGATCAAACCACATTTTTTCTAGACGATCCATGATGCTTTCAAATAAATCAGCACTGATCTCTCCTAGACTTTCTTTCTTTCGCTCATTATTGAGCATTCGAAGCCAAACTTCATCTACACACATACACATGCACGCGATAACTGTCAACATACTGTCTGTGTATTTTGAAGTATAAGCTCACCTTGCTCATCCATATCATACTCTACTGTTGTCATCAATTGACTGTCGGATGGCTCTAATGCGAACAGCGTAAGTTGACCCTTACTAACCAAATGTTGCTAATTAATTGTTGTCACCTATATATTTTATATATTCTTTTTCAGATCTTTTAACAGTGGTTGCCTTATTTGTCGAATTGGATATGGAGCCGATCTTGAAAGAAGGAGTGGGTAATTTTGGCTGTGAATTTAGTATTGTCGTATTGCCTGCGTCTCCATTGATGATGGTGTTTGAATCTGAAAAGCAAGATGTTGATGATTTGGATCTTGTTTCATTGACATCAAATGATTGTGCTGAATGAATGACAACTGTCAAAGGCTCCTTCACATCAAGTTCTGGATGGAAGTCCTTATAAGACCGTTCTTCTCTTGGCTTGTTTTCGACTGAAAGCTTTTCCTTTTGCTGTAATTTCTTTTTCTGCTCTTCAATTGGTAATTGTAATCTCGCTGACTTCTTTTCCTGTTGTTTTATTAAGCGATTATCATCACTAGAGTTCTTTCTAGGTCTGCCACGTCTGCTTGATAACTGCTGAACTGGCTCAATACCGTTAGACATAGAACACACTGAAGTAGTTTTGTTTTAAAAAGGAAGAATCAAATCAGCGCCACCTGTACAACCGTCGTTCCATCGGTCAGTTGTTTAAAAAATTGATCGGATCTTAAAATAGGTTCATTGGGTCAAAATGACTGAGCACTTCCTTAATCGGCTGACAAGGATACCAGCTACAGCTGGTATCAACAACTCGTATAGTGATCATTTCATTATAGTACCCATCTTGTCATTTCTCATCTAAATTTATTATCTTTGGATCAGCAGCTTTCGAAATGGGTTATACAGTCTTTCCGGAAAGTAAATTTTTTTTTTTTGTAAAATGGTATATTTTATTCAAGTACTGCCAGTTAGCTTGTACTTATTAAAGAAAATAATAAAGA